CCCCCCCCCGAGTCCATTACCGTTGTGTGTAGCGCAAAAGCAACTCACTTTCCAACGATATTAATTCAAACATACTAAGAATTTTATATCGATGTTAACTCTAGCAGGTGGGGTGAATTTACGTCGGTGTCTTCCTTAATATCTTGGACTAGTGCAGGTCCGACCACTACATATGATCCCAGCGTCATGGTGTCCTCCCGCAGTAGCATCGGCACAGCAACCCCATGTACAAGGGCCAAAACGTCTCCTCGAAGGACCGGCAAAGGTCCAAATCCAATTTGGCCAGTGTCTAGTCGAATGAATGCATTTCTGCCTTGGAAAAAACCGATTGCGGCGGCGTGTAAATGTACGCTTGATGTAAAATCGCTAGTTGACTGTGGCCCATGTTGCCGCTTGTTATCTTCACTTAAATCTGAGCCTTGGTAGCCTCCGAAGTGTTGCTCAATTCTCCCGGGTTTTCTGACACTAACGCACTCATCCACACGGCTATGCAGTATGGCACGGACATGAAGACTCCGTCCGTTGATTTTTCCGAAGTTTTTGGCATATCGACTGCTAGAGTGTCCAGGTCGGTATTGATCTCTGTTGGGCAACCATGAATTGGGGCCAGTGCCATTCCAAAAGGGCAGCCATGTCGGTTGCTGAGGAGACCTTGCCAAGCCACTCGCATCAATGAGCAGACCAATCATCCGGGGCCAATGATGTAAAAGATCACGATAAAGGTCCACGTTGACCTCTTCGAGCGTTTTCTGATAGCATGGAGGCGTCAAATTAACGTGCAGGCGATCTAGAATTCCGTACAAGGCGTAAACGTTATCACGTGAATCTGTGGCGCTACGCTCGTACAAGGCCTGAATCAAACCTTGATAGACAATGTCGGGGGAATGATGTAAGCTCAGATTAGGTGACTGAAGCATTTGAACTGGGATCCCGAATGTAGAGTGCAAAGATCGATATGAGGATGTTTGAACCAGAACGCAGGATGTAATGGAGATCAGAAGGGCGCTTAGTGAAAACATTCCACTTGGTCGCCCACGATTCCGCCAACGCCACACTAAGCATAAAGCAAGTGAGCATGCAGTAGTCAAGTACCCCATTGAACGATACATCTTGTGTGACTTGATGGCATGCTTCATCCTGCTTGCTTTCGAAGCTGGTAGCGAAGCTTCCAAAGGATTTGTACCCCTTCGGTCAATTGTCAGCCAGACAGAATAAAGGTTCTGCCACAGTTTTAAGCCTTGGGGCAGCCTGGTAAACTTTGGGTCTCCACGAATTCGTTTTCTGTGCTCGATAGTCTGAATGAATGATAACCCATCCACAAATTGTTCGCCTCGGAGCATCCGTGAACCGCACATGATAATTGGCCGATGAGCAAGTATCCCTTCTTGGAATGTCCAAGATCTCCTAATCCACGGGCGACTGAAGATCTCCTCAAAATCTTCGGGGTTGCATTTGACACGAAGGCGTTCCAGGCGCTGCTCTTGATCTTCTGTTGCAAAAGGGATTAATTTCCAGGCAGTTCTCCACTTGCGACTAATAGCGAAGTAGCTTACCTGGAAGGTTACATATCTTCGAAAGCCGTTTAAGTCTAGCTCGAAGGATCGGGTACCAGTATCCGTGCCATAACGCTCCAAACCCTAAGGTCCTCGAGCGTAGCTCTGCTGCCTCCCGTAGCCAGGAGAAGGCTCTTATGGATCTTTCATTTTCATCGCCGAGCCAGACAAAGACCGTTTTTGCGGCAGAAAAGATGTCTCCCATGAGATTAACTTGAGAAGCACGTTCATTGTTGTTATACTGGTTAATACACAGGTAGTCCACCCAAACGGTAATAGTGGCTTTCTGATGTGATCTGATTGCTCTCAAAGCAGAGTAACAGCTCCTAGGGGTGATACATTCTGCACCATTGATATGAATAAAATATTCTGATGCTGAAATATCACCCCATACGTAGGACAAACTGTCGAAACCTTCCAATGAGTCCAAAGAGATCACACGAAGATCTCCTCTTAGTGACTCATCTCCCGTCGTCTTGGGGTGTATGTCCAAAACTCTGATTGATCGAGGTTGGTCTTTCAGACTGAGTTCAGAATAAATCTGCTGCAGACGAACTAGGTTGAACGCTAAAGTGTTCGTATTTGAGCTCATGTTTGAGAGGATCACAACATGATGGCGTGGGTTGCGTGAATTGCGTGATGTGGTGTTCGACTCGGTTCATTCTAGTTGTTCACCTTCTCCTCCATCTTTTATACTCGAATACCGAACGCGATGCGGCATAACTTGAGATCCATTCTCAAGGCTGATTATTGAAATGCTTCCTAGCTCATAAGTCGGGGCTATGCTATTTTTAACATAATGGCCGGGCAATTCTTGTCAAGATGATTTAATCTGTGCATAACGTTTCGTAAGGAATACCAGGGAGATTTGAGGTGTAAACGACCCTCTTGGCTGCGCGCATTCCAGACTAGTTGTGTCAGAAGTCTTGTTGCCTATTCTTACCAGGCATATTAAGTAGTGCTCATACAAAGCATGGTTGGATATCTGTGTACATTCTCTGAAGTCATCATTGACCTGGGGAAATGTGACAAGGGTCCCCAAGTTAACTTACACAGTATCTCTTTACCGATCACTACCTATGAAACTATACCAGGGTTCGATAATTCATGCAGAGCTTATGTCCTTTCACCAACAGACTGGAACAGCGTCTCTCATTTGTATGGTGCCTCACATAGCTCCAGCTCCCGTTCTGGGTGCATTCCCTGGAATTGGCCTGCCACCCGGACGAGCGGATCGACGCCGCCCAAACTGGGCTTAATGTCGGACTTCGAGGGTGATACAAGTGGGATGTGGCGCATTCATCACGCCGTAGGATGTGTAGGCTGGGCCAGTGTGTCTCTTATGAAGCAGTTATGAAACTGAAGTGCGCAGAGTGAGACAAGTCAGTTAACGAGCATGGAAAATATATGCAAGGGTGATAGCTTAGCAGCCGAGGTTGAGTGTAGAAGAACGGAGCTGATTAACCCGCTAAACTCTTTACGGACTGGCTCACTCTCCAGAAAACGGATCTGCATAACCCCATTGGGAAGTGTAGAATCTGACTAACACGAGTACTGCAACGTTCAAAATCCGCGACATGTTCGCAACCACATTCTTTCTTTCAGAAAATTAACTAGGCCACCTTCTGCAATTGAACACTTCGACTCTCGTGGATTCTGCTGCGGTCAATTCCTCCTGCCAGGCCGATTGTTGCTCGTGAATCCTGCCAAGGGTACCGGTGATTTCTCCACTTTGGCGATGCTCTATCCCGAACGCACAGCTTGATGGGCAATCTCGAGCCACATTGCTAGGCAGAGGCGCTAGTAAACGCATCGGCTGTCGTGCGTTGGCTGTCATGCATCGACACTTTAGGAGCTCGCTTTACATGATGCGCCATCGAACGCGTTTCAATAACTAGCTGTTCTTGCTGTGAGGTCACAGAATACTGTCGCAAAGCAACAAAGTGTACCTGTATCCAGATAATTGGACGTTGCAGCCGCCGTGAGTTGATTCGCAGCCGCACAAGGCTCTGAACCGATATTTAGCAAACGCAAGCTGGCTGCCCGGCATCGACATCGCCGTTCCGAACTTCTACCAAAAGTCTAGATGCTTGGAACAACAGGTCCACATCGCACGCCAGGATTCTCGACCTAGAAGATACGATAGTGCACCGGATCGTTTATTGTACAGTAAATGCCCATTCGAACTTGTTCTTTCTTGCTTTTGCTCCTTCGTTCATCCACTAGGTTGCGATCCCAAATCTGGGAGCCGTCACGGATGTGGTCCATGATGATGATCCTGAGGTAAAACCGAGCGTTACGTGAGCCTTTACTCGGGCTCAAAGGGTGCCAGGAGAACTTGAAAGCAATCTATTCATCGATAGAATCAAGAGCTCAGCGGGGGTTGAGGATACACATCAGGAATTGCTCGTTGTCCAAGCAATTCACCACTTTATCCTAGGCTTTACGTAACGGAAGGTTGAGGGATTTGCAGGTTTGTACACGATAAAATCTTCTAAATGGATCAGAGATCTCTGAAGCACCCACATCAGTAGTAGGTTCATCAACTTTGTTTCTGTTAGAGTTTTGAATCCATAAATTGACGATGACACTAGTACTTGGGTTGACCTGGCTGGGTTGCAATACATTATTTGAAAGCTCAACAACATGTGGAAAGTCGGTGAAGATTCGCACTACACGCCCACTATTACCTGTTCGCCGTTATCTCCATCCAAGCCTCTCTCGATCGATAGTTATACTCGTCCGGTCCACGATGCAGGAGACTCGTCGGCAGTGTGGCGCATTGTTGGCCGCCTTTTGGAAGCCCAGACTCTTGAAACATGGCACAACACCTGATTCTACCACACTGGTTATCGAAACAAAAAATATTTTTGAACTTCCATTCTCCGAGAGTGCTAGGCCGAAGAAAGTAAAATATCATCTTTTTTTATGTCACAAATTTACGGCGACACGCTCGCTGATGTTGAGCCGCATATGGCCCAGTCTGATAGATTGGCGTTCCAGAAATAAGAGAACATTTGATATGTCAGAAGGTAAACTTCAAGCCACTTCGATAAGTAGCTATATAAGACTTAGGCTGAAAAGAGATTTAAGACACAAACGAGATAAAAGCTAGTGACTTCAAACGTTATTTAAGATACTTTCGCAAGTGAAGTCGTTCATTGTAGCCTTGAATTATCAACAGACTGTGATTGTATGTAACTGTCCCGGAATGTTAGATAGAGACCCGAGTAGCCTGACTGTTTTGCGCGTTCAGTTAGAATAAGCCCATACTACAAACATCTTGTGGCTGTCAAAGCTTTGCTTCATCCGTCATGACATCCTTGAGCAGCTTCAGCGCTTCCACAGCAAACCTCTTCATGTTGGCAACTCTGTCGGTACCCAGTCCCGTGTTCAGCTCCCTCACGAAAGTGCCTTTCTCGCAATCGACAGCGAGGGCGACGTACCCAGGCGTCCGATTTGGAGTGTCGCTGCCGGTAGGTCCAGCGGTGCCGCTTTCCGAGATGGTATACGTGCTGTCCAGATCCTTCCGCACGTGCTTGGCCAGCCCGGTTACGATGTCTGTGGTTGGGCCTCTGTATCCCTTGATGCTCTCCTGCGTCCAGCCAGCATAGGCAATGCGGGATGGCAGGGTGTAGAGTGTCAGGCCGCCCTTGTAATAGCCGCTGGCGCCAGGAGCAGAGAGAAGGGAGCTGCTGATCAGACCGCCGGCAGCCGTTTCTGCAACACTGACGGTCTCGTTGCGGGACTTCAGAAATGACGTCACCTCTTGGAGAATCTCCCGGATTTCGGCAGGAGGGAAGTCTTGCTCAGCCATCATGGATCGGAAAGCTTTAGGCAGTTGAGGTTGAGGGCTGTGTCACGAAGTCAGGATGTAATTCATCGTTCAGAGTGGTAGCCCTGGCAGTTATAGACTCGGCAGTTGCGGGGCTCGGCGGAGCCGATTACAAATGTCACAACCCCGGCCGGACGAGCCGCAAGTATCGGACCCACCAGTCGGCGAATCTGATCGCAAGCACGTTCCTGTTCATTGCACCGATTCACATTTCACCCATATTTTCTCTCTTTAGGCTCGATAAAGCCCCATAACTAAATCGAACAAAGTCATTCAGTCTACGTGATCCATGTTTTGATTCGTCATCCAGTTTCAAGTCAAAATTGCAGGTGTTCGTCGCAACCATACTCAGTTCTGGATTTGCGACTTTCGAGTATGCGGTACTAACAAACATGTAGTAAATAAACAGGCATGCTTTAATTGCAGACTTTTCGTGGCTCCTCGAAATCCTAGTTTCATAATTGTCGGGTCGTGCCCATTGGAGAATTGATATGAGGCCTTAGAAGACAAGTAAAAAGCTCAAGGTTTTAGTGGCAAGCGGATACAATCGTTCACTCTTAAGCAGTATTCACGCAGGGCATTGTCAGACCCCGCGAAAGAAGGCAAAAAGAAAAAAAAAAGAAAAAAAAAAGGAAAAGGCGGGCAATTTGCAGTTCACCATTATGTTAGAGCCTTTCTAGCGCTCTATAGAATTCCCGACTCTAGCAGCCTATTAGGTACAGGCTTCGCAAGAATCACCTTCCTCCTATCACAGAGAACCCTCACCCTTCCTCGGGCCAATTGCCAGTCCAAGCCCAACCTGAGTTCAAAGAATACTAGAATGGTCCTCTGAATTCATGAACATTGTCGTACTGATCCTGCACCTGTTCGTAATAGCTGTCTGCGCGTCCGACCGTGCCGCCGGACCCGTGGCGATTTTTCTTCCAGTCTGGGTTTCTCGAACCCAGCTTGTGGACCCTCACCATCTCCCGTGAAACAACACGCTGCTCCACTGTGCTGTCTACCCCACGGGGTCGTCTGACAGCCAACAGCAGCTCCTTACGATGGATGAACCTGTCGCCCGGAGAAGAAACACGCCCCGAATACTGGCTGCAGTCAAAAGTGACCGAGGCTGGTTCTCGTAGGTCCTCGTTAAACACGGCACCCGAGCTGCCAGTGCGTTTACTGCGGAACAATTCCACTGTGAGGCTAGAAGATGTGCTCTCGGACGTCTCGGGGTCTTGCTGCAACTCCGCCGGAATTGTCCTGATTTTATAGCCATGTCGCGAGTGATTGCGATACAGGGGTGACAGAACTGAGGTGGGAAAGTGAACATTGAGCTCGGTCCAGCCCGATCCGTGCTCCATGAGGTCTTCAATGGCGAGCCAGGAACGCAAGATCGCGTCACCTTTCACAATGAGGAGCTGCAAGGAGAGGCCTGGTAGCAGGTCAAGGAACGATCGCAAGAAGAGATTCTCAGCTTGTGGGATGTAGTAAGGGACCCAAGTCTGGTCGACGCGGAGAAGTCGGATCTGAGAGAGCATAGAATGAGGGGCGGTGGTCAACTTAGCCATCATGGTGTGAATGTCGAGAAAGTAGAAGAGCACCTGGCCAACCCAGGTGCTGCCGATCTCGCTCGAGGCACGGCGACAAGTTCGAAGGAGGGCGAGACTGTTTGCGGAAGGTCGAGCGAAGCAATCGTCATCACAAGATATCTTGTACTTGCGGCCATGAGTAAGGCGGGTCGATGAGAAAAAGCTGGCGTAGATCGCATTGCGTAGTTCCTGGGGTAACTTGGTGAAGAGGGGACTGCCACCCTGCGCGTTCACGTTCGTGGCCGACATCTTGTACGGTGATTGTCTAGGCAGTTGAGGTCGGCTTTGTGACGTCTGCCCGTTGGTGTCGGCAAAGTCAAGTGAAGTTATGAACGCGAAAAGTTCAGGTTCGTGAGGTTGGTTTGTGGCGACTGGATGAGTTGAGGCGGGCGTTTGATCTCGCGAAGGAATTAAGATCGGTCGCCTGCTCGCGTCAAACACCCGCGATGAGATGCTGGCCCTGACTAGGGTTTGATAGGGAGAGGTTGCAGTTGCAATGGATGAATCTGGAGGCAAACCAGTAAATCCAAGGCGAAGTTGCCCGGCTTGATTGTTTGGGGACGAGAGTCAGGAATGCACCCACTAATTTCACCCAAAGGCTCGTTGCTGTGCAAGGTGAAAAGAGAGAGAGGGGAGGAGGATAAAAATTGATCGCACCCGTCGCCGAATTTAGTTTGGGATTGTAGTGTCTCCCCAGGAACAATCAGATGGGGTTTCGCGACGTGTTGCGCATTCAGGTAGTCCGTGTTTCGCCTTCCTGGCGTCGATGTAGTAGGCACCGCGGACCTGTTATCGACGGAGCTCACTTCGAAAATTCCACTACGTCTTTAGGCTCTGGATAAGTGAGGCAGCGGGGACGCTCGGTGTGAACTACAAAACACGCTTTGTTTACCTATGTAAGAAAACGGTCTCTCGAAGAAGGGATATCATGGCCTTCCCACCGTGGAGGCTCCAAAGTCAGTCTACCTAGGGACATTAACAGCTCGCGAATCGCTGTCATCATATGGGTCATGTCGTAACAGCAAATGGAAATACAAAATAAGTAAATATGCCAACTCCGCCTGCTCGGAGTAGGGTTACTGCCGGCCCGGGGAACTAGTAGATGACCGTGTCCTCGTCTCCCTCCACCATTACATCGCCGGTCTCGTCCGCATCCTTGTCCTGATGATCATGATGGCCACCCTTGCTGGCCTGCGCGGAATCTCTGTTAGTAGTTTCAGAAGTCTCATCAGGCTGCTGGGGAGGGACATCATGTGTGGCATCTGTATCAGTTTTACCCACTGTATTCTCGTCCTGGTCGACCGAGGGTGATTCGGTGGGTTGGAGTTCAGGGGCAGGGTCAGACTCAGAGGCGGGAGCTTCTTGGGTCGTTATGCCAAGGGCCTTTAGTCTCTGCTCTTTCCTTTGCTTGAACTCACGGGTCTCGCTGTCAATCAGGTCTTCTGCATCGCGGATCTGGTCTTTGATAATATCTTCTTCGTCCTCCGTGGGTTCCCAGGGCAAGTAATACTGGATCAATATTAGTCCACCATCTCGGGCATGCAACCAGACATGAGGATATCTTACAACTTGGGGCACGGTCCTGGTTCTCAGAAACCGCGCTGTGGCGAGCAAATGATCATGCTTGGTCCTCATCTGGACATCACAGTCAGTTCTTGGCCCTGATTCATGCACAATGTCGCCATTGGTGGCTGGGAGCCAACATACAACTTTCTCGTCCCACTTTATCTGTTCCCTCTTGCGTACTGTGTTGAGCTCGGCCAGCTTCGCGGCGCGCTGCTTGTCGTCCTCGGCTCGCAGCTGCGACGCCTTCTCCCGCTGTTTGCGCTCGATCTCCTGGCGCCTCTTCTGCTGTGAGTTTGAGTTCTTCTGGCTCAGCGTGCTAAGCAAACCACCGAACAACCGCTGCCCGCGTTTCTTCTCCTCCTGCGACGCGCTCGGCCGGCGTTCTGAGCCTGTGGGTGCCGGTGGTGATCTGGTCGAGCCATTGTAGGTTGCCTCGGAGTCGCGGCGCACTCGTTTCGGCGATTGCGAGGTCGTCCTGTCTTCGCCTGGGGGCGGCGAAGATGCCTTGCGTTTATGCGCCGCCGGCGACCGTATGGACTGCTCGTCGCCATGGGAAGGAGCAGTCATCGCTCTGGTGACACCTATCAGTTAATGGGACGCAAGGCAGATAGGCGCGGGGTCTGGGGTGAACGTACTCGACATCGGTCGACATGATGAAACGACTCAATCCTGACACATTACAGTCGCTCAGTGTATGCGACCTCGATAAAGCAGTACGATCTGCTTCAGCTCATCCTCACGTCGTCGTCGGTGGGAGCGGTGGTTGGATTAAGCAGCATATCACGAGGCTGAGGGACCTCGCGTAACTTAGGGAAGGTGCGAGCTAGGACTTGTGCTAGGTAACCCCACTTTACGCCACTTTTATGCAGATAGCTCTTTTATGCACCTAGCTTCCAAACGTCCCTCCAAAGAAATCTCCAGAACTCGGTGGCAAGGCTGAGAAATCGACCTGCGCCTTGTTGCCATATCTACGCCCTCGACTCACAGACGAGCCCAACTTGCGACTTTCTCAGTTCTTTGCACCCGCAACTGTCTCTCAACCAACACTTGCGCGAGCTGATCGACCGCCAGAATGTCGCGCCATCATCCGTAAGTCCACTTACCCACCTGACGCCCTTCCGCGCGCGCGGCACCCTTCAAGAACCAGTGCTAACGTAACTCTCCCCCCTGCAGCGATCTCGTCATGTGCCGCAAGCAGTCGGGCATCGCCATCGGGCGGCTCTGCGACAAGTGCGACGGCAAGTGCCCCGTGTGCGACTCGTACGTGCGGCCGACGACGCTGGTGCGCATCTGCGACGAGTGCTCGTTCGGCAACTACCAGAACAAGTGCGTCGTGTGCGGCGGCGAGGGCATCAGCGACGCCTTCTACTGCTTCGAGTGCACCCGCCTCGAGAAGGACCGCGACGGCTGCCCCAAGATCATCAACCTCGGCTCCTCCCGCACCGACCTGTTCTACCAGAAGAAGACGAATCGGACGGGGTTCTAGTGCACGTGCGCCCTGGGTTTGGGGCTGCTTGGTTTCATTTTTGGCCGGTTGTTTTGATTTGAGAGGAGAGGCAAAATATGGAGAAAGGAGGGCTCGGCTGTCTCCTGGGCAGAGATGTGCTAAAGGACGTTCGTCGCCGGGATGCGAGCGCTACCACTGTCGGGCGCATGACGGAGGCGAGGGAGGACGAGAGACACGAGGCTGTCCACGAGGCGCGAGGTGTGCATATAATGGCGTTTATAGGGGCCTTTGGCCGGGTTTTGATTTTTTGGCACCAAATTTGAAGGCTGATACCCAGCTAGTTGAGCATCGAGCGGGAATAAATGATTGATGGTCAAGACCTGGCTGTCACATTGGAGAGCTGCAATGAGGTCCGATCATGAGTGGGTGTCTTAGGGAACATATGGCTCTAGGAGCCATGCCCGCCAGAAATATGTCATGTTGTTAGCGGTCTTGTACCTTCCACAGGCTCACCCGGACATAGAATAAGCACGATCGAACATAAAAAGGATGCCGGACATGGTCCAAACAAAGAAAACAATCTTGCTGCTTGCAATTAATCACTACTTTCATGTCCCATGCTACCCATAATACATAAGTGACCCACGCAGTAGTTATATATACACGGCCAATGCAGTGTCCAGGACGCCAGCTTCGCCCATCCGCAAGTTCCCAAATCAAATATAGCTGACTTTGACGCCCATTCCCGCAGTCGCCTTGACCTTGTTCCAGCCGGTACCCAGGACACGCGTTATCCTCTCACGTATCCTCTGGTTCCCAAACATGACCAACAGCCCCACGATGAAGGCTACGAACCGCATCAAGAGCATCGGGTTTGTCTTGAACGACGCCCCGAGCTGCTCGATTACGACTCGTAAATTTGACAGGATCATGGCTGCCCGCGCACTGTAACTTGGAGGGCCCACGGGCTTGCTATTGGCCGGCTTTGGTTTCGACAAGGCCGATGAGCTGGTCCGCGTACGTCTCCCCTTGGCGGACCCGTTGGTACTTGGTGTTTGCTCGATACCGTAATCAACCTCGCTGCCCTCCCGCCGTGCGCGCTCTTCCTCTAGCCTCTTGCGTTCTCTCGCTTCGTTCTCGGCACGCATTCGGCGGGCCTCTTCGAGATCCCTTCGGAGTTGGTCGTCCTGCCTCTGCTTTTCCTCCTTTACCCGGCGCTCTTCCTCTTGCTGCTCCTCCTGCAGACTTTCGAGGGCCTGGAGGAAGGCATCTCGACGCTCCTCATCGAGCACCGATGACACGCTGATGAACTCCCGCGCGTAGTCCCACTCATTGTTGCGTAGTAGCACATGTAGCGTATAGAGCTCCAGGATCTTGACTCTGGCGTTCAGGTCGCGCGGCGTGTCGGCTCCGCTAGTTCCTCTCCTGGACTTGGAAGGGGATTTCCGGCCTCGTGATGACAGTCTCGGCGATTGTGATTCCTCCAGCCGCTGGGATATATCCAGGTTAGGCTGCTGGGATGCAGCCAGATAATTCTCTAAACGTTTCTGGTTCAACTCTTGTGTATGTGCATGTGCCAACAGTAAAGTGGCTCTGTCCAGGTTGTTAGCAGGCGATTCAAGGGCGAGACACGGCAACGCCAAACTCACAAGTTTATCACGACATCCGAGTCCACCTCACCCTCGACCCCATGATACCCATTACGTACCACCTCGTCCCAGATTCCTCCTTCACGTACTTTGGTGCACAGCGCTCTCCATTCCTGTGTTCCGAACGCATCCTTGCCCTCGTCGGGGTCGAGCTCCAGAATCGCATTCAGGATGGTAAGGTACAGACTCCAGACCTTGATGCGTGTGGATCGGCTCGCCCTCGCAATGGGCGCGGGTTCGTTCTCCGCATCCCCGTTGGACTCCCCGTTCTCGTCGGGCGAGGGCGGTGTGATGAGGGGCTGTACCGTAGACAGAGCCTCGGGCAGGCGGCGGGTCAGGAACAGCTGCGAGGCCTGGCGGTAGGTCTTGGAGATGTGGTTCGGCGTGGGGCGCGTTAGAGTGGACGAGGACTGGAGGGATGCGATTGAGCTGGACAGGATGTTGTGGTGGGCGCTGAAGCCGGAATCCGAGCTCGGGCTCAGCGTCGCGGAGTAGGAGGAGCCGTTGAACGCCATGTTCGGGTCGGATGGTGGTGGTGAGGGTGCGTGTTTATCGTCTCGTCAGTCCGGCGCCGGTGGCACTACACATTACACCCAGGTGACTATACGCCGCGCACTCGAACACGAAGAAGACGTTTAGAGGTGGGCTTCGGACATGGTCAAGAATCAATCGCCGTCTTTTCACAACTGTCCGCCGTTGGTTGCAGCAGCAGGAGAGGCGTCGTACCCGTCGTCCGATTGTCGAAATTGACCCCGGCGAAAGCGCAGCCGAACTGGCATGTGGACGGCAGACCGGGCGCACTAAAGTTTGCCAACCACCACTGGTCAGCTGGGGAAAGCTACTTAGCCACGGGCTGCTGGCTGCGGGCTGTGGGCTGCGACGGGCGACTCGGTGATTGCGGTCAGCAGCTGTTTAGCCTCGGCACGTCGGCGCCCAGGGCGCCCGCGCGATGCGTGTTTGGCCCTGGCAGATCGACTGGCGTGCTGATTTGCAGGGCGGCCAGTGCCCGCCCCTCAGCTCCTCCACCACCCTCTCGCGCGGCTGGGCCGATCCCCATAACGGGCTGTCAAGCCCGCGATTCGCCAAGGCGCCGCCCCACCGCGCAATTTTCCGGGGTAGCTCTTAAGGGCCACGGTCGGCCGTTGGCTAGCCTGGCTCGTGAGTGCGAATCATGCGTTCCGCGTCATGCGGGCGACTCTCGACGCGTAGATTGGTTGGCAATGCAGAAAGGGTCCTTTCGCTTCTCGAAGCTTTTCGCAGATGAGTTCCCTCTATAGGCAGTCAGACATGCATTCCCCGTGTTGTAAATTCCCGATTACGGTCATGACCGTCAAGACTTCTCGTCCTGGTGTATTCTATAGTGGTTGTGATAGTGTAATAGTGCTACAATTTAGCCTCGGGTTTGGCTTTCAATCCTTCGTCCCTCGAAGCTGCGAACACTTTGTTCACCCAACACTCAGCGTCCCTGATCTCTGAGCCCGCCAACGTTCGCTCTGCTCCCACAACTCGCCCTTTTCACCATCGACAACTAGCCTCCACTTCTGCAGGAACCAGCGGGCAGCCTCCCAGCTTCTCATGTCCCAGGGCTGAAAAGACCCGCCCTGCCCGGTTTCTCGCCCGTCATACCGCCAACACGTCAACGCTCGGTGGTAGAAGACATCCACCTTCATTTCCTGATTGTTGAACAAGTGGGGCAAGGTGACAGACATGGTGATGACACGCTCTCGAAGCACTGGTATAGGTATGACGTCCAGCGCAGCATGATGCGGATAGAGCACTTGTGGGAGCGTGGGTTGCAGATGTTCTGGCGCTCCGGCGGCTTTGAGGCGAGCCTCGGTGAGTAGGTCCATGGGGTCGGTGCCAGTGTTGACATCAGCTCTATAGAATGGCGACAGACACTCCTCCTTGCAAGGCACCAGCAAATCGATGCCAAAGCCAAGACTGGTCGCATTAGCTATATAGGCTGATATCAGGAGCGATTCTGCTGTCTGGAGCGTGTTCAGGTATGGATCTGCGAATTGAGATGAGACATGGGCCGGCAGAGTAGTATGATCGCGACACGATGAGCCGGATGACACCGATGTTCCCTGCGTAGATACATTGCTATTACACGAGAGGGGCAGTGCTCCTACAGTTGATAGCCAAGTGGTGTTGGGACAGGAGAGCATCGACTCCGATGATCTCGTTAGATCCCAAGACGTGCGAAAGTGGTGCACCTGGTTGTTTAGTAATTCGCCGAAAAGAGCTCCGTCTTCAGTATATTGGGTCAGGGGATCCGGATATTCAGTCCGGAGCAGTCGTCCATTTGGTGACGAGCCAGAGTTGACGATAAAAGATTGGTCAAACAGTTCCGCTGGGTGTACCAAAGCATCTTGCCAAAAACCGTTACATTGGATTTGTCCTGCTGTATTGCTTTGGCGTTGCTCTGGACATGCCGGTTCAAGCCGCCTGAGGCCGTGATGGGGAGGCGAATTCTTTAGCTGCTGCTGACTTTCCTTACGCCTTTTACCTAGTTGCATGGTTAGTTTATGATGCCTGGCGTAAGAAACGCCACTTGGAATAGCTATTAATCAAGTGAGTAGACTGGGAGCACGCACGATGAAGCTTCTGCGCCGCCCGATTCTGCTCCCTCCGGGCCGGGGTGATTACCCGCTTGCTCTTCCGTCGGTGATGGCCTTGAGAGGACTGCATTCTGGTCTGATCAGGGTTTTGCGGCTCGCGTCGCTTGTTATGGGCCTTGCAGTCAAAAACGGACAATGAGGGTTGCAGTCCGATCTAGTCTGGTGAAGGATGGCTTACTGTGGAGTCAACGTCGTGGCTTATGCTGGCTTACGTTCAAACAGCCAATCAGCTGATAGACCTGCGCGAAGCTGGCCAATAACATGGGACCTTCATGGAAATCGAGCCCTCGAATGGGGGTTATCTCATCAGTGAGTTTCCAGTATTCCATGAATGGCTGACCGCCACCTTCTGCTGAAAGATATAAATCCCATGCCCTCTTAGCCAGACAATCATCTTCTGAAGGCAATCTTCCAAAACATTCGTCTCGCCTTTCCCAACGCTTCCTATAAACCCCAAGAATTACTAATATACAGGCGGCAGGAGCAAAATGGCAGGAAAAAAGATCATCGCCATCGTAGGGGCAACTGGTAACCAAGGCTCCTCTGTAGCGAAAACGTTTGCCCTCACGGGCGGTTGGCACGTCCGCTGCTTAACTAGAGACCCTACCTCGGCCAAGGCACAGACTCTGGCTGAAATTGGGTGCGAGCTGGTCCAGGCAGACTTGTCAGATCCCACTTCACTATCACCAGCATTTGATGGGGCTCATGCCATATTTCTCAACACTGAGCTAGCGGGAGCCTACCGAGCCTATCTCGCAACGGGCGAGGATCACGATACCGCCATGCAACGCGCGTTCGACTCCGAGGTCAACAGTGGCAAGAACGCAATCCATGCGATCAAAAATGTCGCCACGCTGGAACGTCTTGTCTACTCCGCCCTGGGCTCCGTGAAACGTGTGTCAGGGGGGAAGTATCATCACACGACCTTCTTTGAGACCAAGGCCGCGATCGTCGACTACATCGAGGCTGACCATCCACTGCTGGCGGCCAAGACCTCATACATCTATATTGGGGCGTATATTGACCACCCATTCCTGCGCCCGAAGCTCGACGTAGCCAGCGGACGGTATGTCGGCATGCTGTCATGCTCCAAGCAGACCCATTTCCCAGTCATCAATGCTGCCGAGTCAACGGGGCCTTTTGTCAGGTGTTTAATTGAAGATGAGGATCCAAAGACCAGGCTTCTGGCTTATGACGCACGCCTAACAGTCGGTGAGGCTCTCGACCAGTGGAGTGGAGTGACTGGCAAGTCGTATGTCTTTGTCCAGGAGACGTTGGAGGACATGAGTAACAAGACCGGCATGCCTTTAACATTCATCGAGTTCCCGGCTGCGCTCGAGGAATTCGGCTACTGTACCGAGGGTGCGGTTATTGAACCGCATCAGCTAAAGCGAAAGCCACAGACCCAGAGCTACGAAGACTTTCTGAGACAGCAGGACGTCGATGTACTGCTTGGTGATGTTGCAAACACCAATTAAGCGCCGTTGCAAGAAAGCTTTGGGCAGAATGTCGAGGGTCTACTGCCCGCACCTGACACACACATATTTCGTTTGAATGAGGCAAACGGGGAATGAGCCTTAGAGAATATGTATCCTGGTACGGATTGTATTAATTAGTCAACCTAACATTATTCTCTTTCTTGAGTACTTTGAACGAGCCGCATCATGACTGTAAGACGATTTCTGCATGAAACGCCGCTGAAGGTTATCTGAACATTGGCTCTATGGATCTCTATGTTAACCGCCAACCAGAGTGCCCGGCTTGGCTGATGTATATCCTTCTTCCCATCGGGTCCCCCGCAATTTTACATAGATTCGACAGAATGTCAGCTCTTGAGATTCTGAATTAGTACCTGGTTCCAAATGATCGTCCGAACCCTTCTCGAGCAGCAACTTGACCACATGATCACATTAAGATACATAAAGCTCGAAACAATTCCCAGTGCCGCCATTCTATCTTTTGCCCTTACCAGCCAGTTGGCATCTATAATAGACGAACCAGTGCCGCTTAGAGGAAGTAGTTTCTACATATCAGGATGTCCGTTACCTTTTGTTCGATGTAAGCTTCCATCTCCGTCACGCTCAACATCCATTCGGCCGAATTGACGCCTTTCTGGAAATCCGGGGCACCATTACGTTCAAAACAAGCGATTACTGGAGATGCCTCACATCCAATCTCGCCAAAATGTAGGGGTCTGCCCTCTTTAGCTAGGAGAAGCAACTGATCAAAGATGCACTTGTTTGGATTGCTCTTTACTTTGATACTGGACGCAGCTGTTTTGGCACGTTGATCACAGACGTTTGTATCGAGTAGCGATAAGCGACAAGCGATGAGTGGTAAGAGGCAAGGGATAATCGACAAGCCAAAGCTATTCCAACCAACAAGTACGCGAGATTAGTCAACGCTCCCTAACTTTGTTTACAATTTACCTATCCGCTGACTGCACTTTTCGAAAATCACCCTCTACGATCGCAAATATCAGGCGCCATGTCTAGACAACTGTTCTACGGTCTTTCTGTCCTATTACCCATCTTAGCAATACTACTTGAGCGGAATTTAATGGCAAGGTCCGAGGCATATGCTCCAATCATTGGTCGTGCCAACGTTACCTTGTTTCTTGTCAACAGCGAGGCCGGGTTGTCGAATGTATTTGCAGCAACAGCGCAAGCTTTGCTGGAACAACATCCCACGGTGACAGTACATTTTGCGTCATTTTCACCCATAGCGCCTCAGCTTGAGCGCATCTCCTCGTATAGTCGTACCCAGAGCCTCTCTCATCCCGCTCCGGGCATCATCTTCCATGAGCTCCCTGATCTGACACTGACGCGTGCCATCCACTTGTCGGGGAGAACAATGTCCAACATGGCTCACCCACCAGGGCTGGGTGGTATTGACCAGATATGCAGAGATATCCAGTTTTATATTTCCCCTTGGTCGGGGGAAGATCATTACGTTCTGTACCAACGACTGGTCGACATTATTGATCAAGTAGACCCTGCAGTTATCGTTCTGGATACCGTGTTTCGCCCTGGAATTGATGCGACACGTGAGAGAAAGAGGTTGCATGCTTTCATTTCACCTAATACGTTGATTGACAACTTTGCCATGGATCAACCGTGGGGGAGCATGTTCTGGAAGTATCCCCTGTGAGTGCATCCAAGTCGTTCCCCTAGCTTTCCAGATAATCATGGAATGCTATGCCTATTTGACCATTCGCAAACGCTAATCTTGTATCTCATAGGGCGGCCTCAGGCATTCCGTATCCCGTCCCCTGGAGAAGGATACCAGAAAATATCTACTTGACTCTTCGTTTTATCTACGCTGTTTTCACGATGTCAAACATAAAGGAGAAGCAAGCATTTCTCAAGTCCAAAGACCTCTCAGATCCTATCAACTTTTACAATCTTCACCGTCCCGAAGTACCCTGGTTTACGTAAACTTTACCAGGGGCATCGCGACCTCTTTATAAAGTCCCAAAGAATGTGAGCTGTCTTGGACCAATGACCCTTTCTCTTGGGGCAGCATCGCAGCAGGACCCTGATCTGGTAAAGTGGTTGGCCCGGAAACCAACCATACTGATCAATTTTGGAAGTGGATTCACGTGGATGAAATCGAAAGCAGAATTTATGGCATTAGCGTTGGCTCAGGTGCTCGAGCAGACTGACCTACAAGTCCTTTGGAAATTCCAGAAAGATACAAATGATGCAAACCTTACTCACAGACTCGAATATGACGATACCTTCCTTGAGCCACTACGGCCCTTCCTTGATCGCGGTCGCGTGAGAACACAAACTTGGTTATCCGCTGATCCTACGGCTTTACTGAAGACAGGACACATCGTCGTTTCGGTTCATCACGGTGGCTCAGGCTGTTACCATGAGGCTATTGCGTAAGATTCAATGTTCCTATAAAAAATTGGCCCCTTTGGGCTTGCCATCCCTTCCGCATTACCCGTTGTACGCATAAGCAGCTTGCGAGGAGAAACGAAGAGGCTGACCACGCACATTGCAATAGAACCGGTGTCCCTCAATTGGTACTACCCCAGTGGTTCGATCTATACAATTTCGCACAGCTGACTGAAGATATTGGCGTCGGCGTTTGGGGTTGTCGAGAGACAAGCCCGCATTGGACGGTTGAGTGTCTTCGACATGCCCTGCTCAGAGTCGTGAGAGGCGAGTCTGGCCGGCAAATGAAAGAAAGGGCGGCACATTTCGAGGAAGCAGCTCAAAACAGTCCAGGCCAACAGGCTGCAGCTCGTGAAATTGCCAGGCTAGCTTCCAGTGGAAAAACGGCGTGAGAAGTTGCTGCTCTCAACACTTGCAGGCGTTGACTGAGGGAAGTCAGCACCCTTTCCAAGAAGGAGCCTGACGGCATCGTGCTGGCCGTTGTTTGAAGCATCATACAACAGCGTCCAGTTGCCCTTATCTGCCATAGAAGGGATGGCCCCATTTTCGAGTAGCGGCTCGGCTGTAGCAATGTTTCCATTATGTAGAGCAGCGTAGAGCGGTATCCATCCACTGCTTTCCACGATATCCAAGTGAGCGCATTTCTAAGAAGCAGCTCGACTACACCAATACACCCCTTATATGGAGCGGTGTCCATACAATTTTGGGTTTCCTGGGACAGTCCGCGAGTATTCACTAACAGTGAGGAAGCAATCACTGGCCAATGTGTAGACGCAATCTTCTACTTGCACCTCAAGTCCCCATAATCTTCCAACTGATACTTGGAGTATGGGACAGTTCTGCTGTGCAACTTTCGGCTGACATATTACGGCCCTCCAAGGTTATCAACTCACCATTGGACCTCATCTCCGTTCTATACCCACGCCAACCCCCTCCCCTTCCCCCTCTCACCAGATTCGTATACCTAGATGAAGTGTAACCATCCACCAAGTCATTGATCGGTTGAGAATTTCCGCTCGTTTGTGGCATGCTGGTGCTTCGGCTTTGTAATTGGCTACTATCCCTACCAGCTGACTAGGCTCATCACACATATTATATAAGGTTTATCATGAACAACACAGCATTGAAAGCTGGTACTAAGGACTGCTATGTCGACTTGTCATGAAATGCATTAAAACGCCTTTTGAATATGTGGGACTTGCTCAGACGCTATTATGATCTCAGCCTTTCCAACTGAATACTTCAAACTCCTATAATGATGATGATTTATTAAACTATCCAGACTTGTTTCATACATTAGTTATGTCAATCGGAGAGCCGAGAGCTTGTTAAAGATCGACGTGAGAGGCCAGGAATATTTAGACACCACTGATATTGCCAAGAGTGGGGTCTCAGAAATGTCAGTCTAGCACCGTAAATACAACAACCTCCACGATGAACCCCAGACAGCTCGCATTGTTTAAAAGCCCAGGCGACGTCTCTGGCGATCATGTCCGACTTTGAGAGTCGGGTTATGCGCGATTAAAAGAACAACCATGATCGGAGATTAATGATGCGGCCAAGAGGCCAAGCCTGCTAACGGTGCTTTCTGCCCCCTTTTACCGCTTATATGCCCTTTCGGTGCTCCATACTCGATTTCCCTTATTTTTGCCAAATGATCTATCTAATACGGTTTAAGTGCCCGGCTACTTTATGATACCATATTTTCGGACATTTAGAAGAACAAGGGCGAAACAAGATTTGCGTTGCTAAAATTTTGAATTCGCCCTTTTTGTTGTGCCCGTCCGATTTGGTGGTGCACTTGGAAACAAGGCAAGATGCATCTCAAGCCACTAATCACGACCGCTTTCCTGGCCACAACCTCTTTGGCGATAACAGACCGTACTGGCGACGTCCTCAATGGCGCAGAAGTCATCAACTCACTCGATCTGAACGATGTTCCCTCGTCAGCCGTAACCCGATATTACCTGCGCGCCGGTGAGCTCAATGGCGGCTTCCCGCTACACCTCCCAATCTTCATTGCCCGAGGGCCCAAAGAGACACTCGAGACAGGAAAGAAGCTTTCCGTCTCCGGTACCGTTCAGTAAGTACATTGGGATCATCTTTACATTCGATTCACGGAACTTCCTATCGAAAGCAAGCCTGCGTGAAAATCACTATTTCTGAGACGTTCCTTGCAATTTGTCACATAATTCAATGTGACGATTACTAACCACACATTAGTGGAGATGAGTTGAACCCAATCAGAGTTGTGCAAAAGGTTTTCGAGAACTTGGAGATAAATATTGACAAGTTAAATGGAACTGGTACCTGGTTCCTTCATTCCGCATGTAAGAGAGCAAAACTGACTGGCCAGTCATTGGTGTACCTGGCATCAACCCCATGGGCATCTACCTGAATCAGAGGAATTTCTGGACGGCATCCGATAGCGGATTTCTTACAAACATAAACCGCGTCTTCCCCGGGACTAACTCATCGAGCGGTGGTAACGGCGGTAATGTCATTGCGTATAACCTATGGAATTACATCTGGGGCAACACATCGAACGTCGACGTTGCTATAGACCTACGTAAGTACTGTGTGATCCCTGCGGCGCAAATCTGACCACTACACACGTTAGACACGCCTTCCAGCGGCAGCGGCTCCTCGCTTTGGTGCTATGCCGACTTCCGGTTGCCGTATGTGGAACGTCTTGCCAAACTCCTGCAACCTAATATACTCAAGATCGACCCTGGTGAGCCTGGGTCCATAGAAACGACCTTTGTACGCCATGGCGTACCTGCCATCACTGTCGAGATGGGCATTGCCAAGACATGGTTGCCGGACCTCATTGATCGGACTTACGACTTTGTTATACGCGTTATGGACGACTTGAGCATGCTCTCTGGCAACAGCAGCACCCAGCATGAACCCGACCTTAGCAAGACGTTCATTGGAAACACATTTCAAGGAGTTCGAAGCACTTATGGCGGCTTCATCGAGAGCCTCGTGACCTGGGATCAGGACGTGAAGGCTGGACAGGAATTGGGTCGCATTCGCAATGTATGGGGCGATGTAATTCAGATACTCCGGGCACCCGTAGATGCGAGAATCCATCAGGCGCCAATCGATCCTTCGGTAGAGCCGGGCCAGGACGTTTTCAGTCTGGTCTACAACTCCACGGATCCAAGTTGCATCGACGGTTGCGTGCTCTGAGAGCTTTCGGCTTCACTGCGTGTGCGCGTGACGAGGACTGGCTGAAGGGGATTGATATAATTTACCAAGTTGCAAGGAATGAACTTTGCGATGTACACACAGGACCAATCGTCCAAAGTTTGATGTGGGAGGGGATGCATCACGATGTGCAGTGTCTGAACCCTCCCTTCATCGCACCATAGGCAGTTCTGAATCAGGAGCAGCATCATGCCGCAGAGGCTTAACATCAATCCCACAACCGCACCGGTCGATCACCACACGTCTCATAAACTGCCCTCTTTGGTAGAAAGGGTATAGACCAGGAAAATCTAGACTCACCTGGTCTCTAAAACCGGCTTGAAATGTGCTTCGAAATGAGAAACGCGAAAGATGAATATCGTAATGTTTCGAATTGACATTACTAATATATCTGGGGAATGCCAGAAATCTCTGCTCCTACGGCCAACAGGGAGCAATGATCACTTATCGTATAGACTCTCACTGTAAGTCCCAGCGATATCTTATGACGACCGAAGATTCCAAGGCAGTGCTCCTCGCATTCATGTACTTAAAACTGATTCTATGATAGCAAATTGGTCTTTTTCGGAGTCTAGAACTGCCAAACCATCAAGTGGCAGGGTCACCATCGGCGTTGTGTGGCCGAAATCGACGTTGAACAGAATCGGAAACTTCTTTTCAGCCAGACGACCGTCACACAGCAGACCTTTGATGACATTCATGTACTCCTCCTTTCTCTCTGGGGAATCATATCCGAACGGCCGTCCCACAACCAATCCTGCTGCGTTCTCAAACACGCCCTGCGCAATCAAGTCTGCTATCCCAGCCCTCACTCTTTCCAGTGGGTTTCCTGACACATCATCGTCGCCGGTGGCGGTTTCGAAGAAGACAATGCGCCCATTCCAGTCCGGCACAATGGCCTTTTTTTTTTCACAGTCAGAGGTCAGCATATCTTTTTAAACACTTTTACACTTTGAGACAACATGAGAAAAAAGGCAGGGCAGAGAAGTGGGGCTCGGAGAATCGTATACCTGAACACCAGCTAGGCGCGCCATGACAGTTAGGCAACCGCCGAACAGCCGTCCTTGAGCCTTACCAGGTCGGAGCCATGTCCAGCCGGTAGCGGGAACGAGTTTCGTTGGCTCCACTGATTCAGGGTCGCCAAAAAAGATGCGCGGCATTGCTGGCGCATACGTGGCTGACCTTGCTATGTCACCGATGGGCTCCGGATCTGTGATGGCCCGGAACAGATGTTTGACGCAGAAGGCAAGGGCCGAACCCTCGTAGCCATCGTCCTTCTCCGCTATGGGCTCGCACAGCTCGGGGATGGCACCAGGTCCGTAGAAAGTGCGAAGCCCGGTCATAGCGTGCAGGAACCAGTGCAAGCCGGTTATGTCAGAGTATCCGACAACGATCTTTGGGTTGGCGCGGATGATACCATGCAGCTCGGTGTCAGCAATAAGGCTTGGTAGTAGCTCAGTGAAAGACGGTCCGCCGATCGTGCAGATTACAGCTGACACGGATGAGTCTGAAAATGCTGCACGGAGTTCCGAAAGTCGGTTGGCAATGGATGATTGGATGCCCGTATCAGGAGTGAAAAGTTCGCGCACCATATAGCCTCGGGAGGAAAGTAATCCTTTAGCCCGCGACATGGCGCTTCGTTGCTCGTTGTTAATCCGGTATGAGGGGGAAATGAAGGCTATTTCCCCACCAGGCTGCAGCGGCTTCGGGACTATGGTAGAAGGCATTTTCAGTGATGATTTATATCGACCTTTAGTTCTGCGAGGTGTGGTGCGTTGACCCTGCAAAGTATGCGTCGCGGTAGAAAGTCAAAATCGTCTTAGCCTGAATAAATAGACATTATGTGTCATGGATGTAATCACAAGGGCGCCACGTGTACAGGGTTGTCGGATATGACACATCAGCCGCTAAATCCAGGGGTGAATTCCAATTGCAGATGATATGAGTAAACAACCATGCCTGACCCAGATAGACGATTACGAAATCCTATATCGAAACAAAACCTAGTTATAATCTCTTATCAATTATCCCCTAGATGGGCTAAGATCATGCACTCATAGAAGGAGCGTTCAGATGAGCGAAATGCTGCGAGCCATAGTAACGGAATGCTTTACACGGGTCTTTTACTTCAAGCTAGATCCTCAGAATATATTCGAAAAGGTTTGTTTACAAATTGACCCATTCGAATTCAGATTGGTTCTTTGGTCGTACACCCAATAAGGTGATCCACTGGTGTGCCCTCGAAGAGTCCTTGTCCACACATTTACGCCTTTTTTGACATTTCTAAAGAACTAAAGCCGAAGTACCCTGCTAAATAATACCGTAATAGCTACCTTCGTGTTTCTAGATCATAGTTCGCTCTCACATAACACCTTCACAGCCCCAAAGAACTTTCCGGCAATTGGATTGATCGCCCCAGCAATGGCTCCCATGATGGTCACTCCCAGACAATTCTCTGTGAATATGATCAGTGAATGGTTCTGAAGAAAACGTCGTGGCTTGGCCTTATAGTAGGATCTTGGATTCAACTTACTTTTACCCTCAACAAGTTCTGCCCGGAATTCCATCGACTCCCTGAGATTGCCGTTTTCGAACCGGTTGATAGCAACATAATTGGGAAATTGCTTCTCTGCACATTTGCCTCCTCTATCAGTCATACCCCAATGACTTCCAGAAGGAGTGGCTCGCACTATCCACTTCTGATCGTTGGTCGTGACGCTGTCACCCTTGGCTGTAGCTTGGAGGGCCTCTTGCAGTGCATTCTTAGCCTTTTCGTTGGAGTACTTTCCATCAAGCCTGATGTTCAGTTTTGCATCACTTGGTTCTTTGCTGGTACCCTCCCACTTGCGAATGTCGAAACTCTTAGGAGAACCCTCATCGCATCCGCCCTCCTTCCTGCAGGCTGAGTTGATAGCGTCTTTGATCTTGGCCTGTACGTCTGTTTCACATCCCCATTGCATCATCGTCTCGCCCATGACCACCTTTGTTTCGACCTTGTCGTCTCGACGAGCTACCCCTTGGACTCCGGGCATTTCATAAAATCTCTTCTGGTAGTCGTGGCTTCCTGGCTCGAAGCCACGCTTGAACCGGTAGGCCTTGGTACCATTGACGGTCAGCAGTTCACAGTTTGACCCAGAGCCGCATATCTCCGAAGTTGGAGCGGGCATAGCACAGCCAACCGCTACTAAAGTCGATAGGTAAAGTTGAAATTTCATATTTTTAAAATTCGTGTTTGAAGTCGACAATGAGATTGGTGTCTTTTGCTTGTTTTGGTGAGCTTTATGGACTCTTTGTTAGGCCGGCTTTGATGCTCTGGAAAATGATGAAAAATATGATAGCAATTTCAGCCCAGACATTGCGGTCAAATATACTCCAATACTCATGCGATTGCTCCTCTATTTCCCTTTCTTGATTCTCATCTACTTTCTGTTTTTTTTTTAGAAACGCGGCTCAGCAGCCTTTCACCATGGACAGGGGTTTTCTTGCGGATGGAGGCCATGGCAATACAGATATTCAGTAGGATATAAATCCTCCAGAGTACTTGCGCAGTATCTAGACAAGATGGTCAGAGTAGGATTGATTGCGCTGCGATCTACCGCTTGGGTGATCACCCGTCAGCGGTCGGGGTATAGGACGCAGGACGTGATACCGTAGCCTGACATGCCGATCAACGTTGCCAAGGCCCTGTGCCACAGCCTGTCAGATAACGTTTGCAAGCTACCCATAGCCTTATGACGTCGTATCTCACATATACTAACACAATTGTAACAAAACTGATGCAGTGGTCCGTGATCAGCAATTACCTGGATTTTAGGCTTTTGTGATCAGCAACCCCTTGTATACTTTGCGGCCGCGCCATGCTAAGCAAGATCCTTCCGCTGGCAGTGCATTTGGAAAAGGCATTCTGTGCTTACTTTGACCATATTTCCAATCTCCTACTCCTATCAAAAATATCAGTTTAAAGATAGATTTGTGGCGAACAACGTCACAGACGGCGCCTAGGTAGTTGACAGTTGCACTTTCATCACAGCACTTGAAAATTGCAGTAGGGTGTATCTCTAATGTGCCCCCTAAGGGAGTAGCACGATGCTAAGGCTATAGCATTTCTTCTCTTTCAGGGTCCTTTGTGGGTGGTTCCTCATACAGCGTAGGCTTTGCAGATATAGATATTGGGTTTGAGAGTGAGCGGTGACTACGCTGTCGTGACTACAATCCGGAGAGAGTAACAAACATCGGCTTGAGTTTGGGCGAATTTGAATTAGATGCTACCACTAGCTGTATCTCATTTTGTATGCAAACGCCAACGGGACGATTGCCTTTACTCCTCCTCCAACCCCTCCCCCTCTGTTTTTCCTCCACCCCGAAGAGTACCTCGTTCTACCTCTACGCTAGCACCCAAGTCAGAACCCCAAGGCCAACCAGCACAATATTCTTTATGCTGGTTCCAACTTTCTGACCTGCACTCTTATTTAAAACTGTATTGATTTTGGGAGCGACAAAGCTCTCATTGCTCGCGAGTCGTCCTTCTCTGGTGAGGCAGTCTTGAAAGTTTGCTTCCCAGCTCTGTCTAGTAGATGAGGTGCTTATATCGGCGTCGTCCTTTAGTCTGCACCACGTGTAGCAGCCATCTTGTGTCGTTGGCTGGGGAGCACAGCACTTTGTCATGGCTGTGACATTTGCTGAGTTCCAATTGCTTTCAATGTATGCATAATTGGCGGTCTGGGGCGCTAGTGGCTCCAAATTGACGAAGCTGCATGTAATGTTGATGCCCGACATTTTAAGATAATGAGATGTGGAATACGAGGAGCTATTGTTTATGATTGTTATCTGGCTGGCTTAGGTATTAGTCGCTTGGGATTGGTTTTTGTGCGTGAAATTGAAGTTGTAGAATCTCCGTGGTAATCTGGCGCTGTAATAAGATCTTGTAACCAATGCAGGTGGCAAGGAGACATGCTATTGATTGATTTGCACCAACACTACAAGACACCCTGCCTGAGCGATAGGAATGTCTAATGCATGCCAATCTGTCGATCTTGATCTACGAGGAACCTAGCCTGCGGCGCAGCACTCAAAACTGCGATGACGCAGGCCTAGAGCTGCCAAGATTTTATTTTTATCTTTGCAACCAAAATGGCCGCTAAGCAGCATGATATCAGATCAATCTCAATTAAGCATCGCTATTGAGTATTGATAAAGGTCCCACTATGTCGAATTTCATCCGCTGACTAACCACCTATCCGATCATTGATTTTTCGCGCTTCTTTTGGTGCAGCGGAGAGGATTTGGGGTCATTTCTCCCATTACTAAAGTTCCTAATGGATTGAACCCGGGTACTGGTAGTCTGAATTATCAGAACTCATCAACCAGAGGTTGAACTTTCCGAGTCCTACTATTACGAGTCACCTTCCCAAGGATGCAGTTTCATTTGAGACGACCCATCCCCCCACCAACGAACTGGGCACCTCTGAAGATGTGACTCTGTTGGACCGCATTTCAGTTCACATCTTCACTGGTTCGACAGTCCGTAATAGCTTGTGGACGTGTGAAGATGCAAGTTTGCAAGGTTCATACTCCATTACGTGCTGACTACTATATTGACGTCGCCTGAACTGTATTTGGCGCTTCAAGGCAATCTTACCGATGGTTCGCTCTTCCATTATGGGGTATAGTCTGAACAAGGCGTAGTATAAGAACCGGTTCGCCAGTAGTTGTTTTCTACAACTGTTTGGGGCGTTATATACTAAGCCAGCAGTTTGATATTCCTGGGCTCCATGTGATATGTGCATTAGAGCCTTTTACCAAGAACATTATGAAGCGACATGGGCGAACTTTCATGTACTCGGACATGAATCGTGATTACAAGTTTGCACGGCTTTCTCAGTCTCCTCTACGAAATCAGTGCTAAGCCTCTCTCGTCGACAGAGGGATGTATGCCTAGAGCCTCAGCATTTATAAGGGTTCGCAGCTGTTCGGAAAGCAGAAAAGAAAGATTCGTTCTCGCCAGATCGGCGATGCATCTTCGTGACTTGAGCTTGGGATCATCAAATTGGGAACCAAGTTGCTTGTGCTTCACGTAAATCTCTTGGGGTCCCTTTTTAAGTGCCTTTCCTAGTGTTACTGCATTCGTGGGTTAGATTGTCATACTCTCCATGCCCTGTGTTTGTGCATTAAGTTATGCAGGAGTAGTAATACGTTGACAGCATTTATGTACGACTGACTCCACTCATTTGTCAACTGTACATCAGCAATCGGTGGCACAGAGTCCTGAGACCAGTAAACTGCCGTTTTGTATATAACCCAATTCATAATTCAGCTTCTGAATATTTAAGCAAGGGACTATCGGTGGGCTATCTTGGTACTGTTGATGCGCCTGGCGGCCGACCAGTGTCGCTGTGCACCAGCCTTACGAGCCCTAGTGCCACCGAGATGAATTGCGGTGCCGCACGGCGCAAAATCGTGTCAGAGCGCCTGCATGTCTCGTGTGTACCACTTGCCTCACGTAAGATTCGTGGCGATGAAATCCCCCTAAGGTTTGCTGAATTTTGTGAGCCTTCCAGTCAATCGAACCAGTTATTGCCGAACGAGAAGTAAGCTTTGGCTCTGATGTCTCTGCCTACCGAATTCCTTACGGCTCATTCAAGAAATGGACCAGCAACAGTTTCTACTCCCCCCCGCAACAGGGGGGAGGATTCTTTCGCGTGATCCCGAGAATTTGCACTACACTCCTTCGGGTTCTGACCATGGGTTTCCGCCGTCACCTATGTCAACGACGAATACTGACAGTAGACGTTACGACGAGGTGTCCGTGGATCAAACATCCTATAGCACCTCTTTGTTCGAAGAAGAGTACATTGTAAGTTATTAGGGAAGACTGCATCAACTTATTGTAGAATAATATGTCTACTATGAGGCCGGTACTACTAGAGAGATATTGCCCATAACACAAAGCTGACAAGCGCACTTGCCAGACTAGCCCTGAAGCACAAGAACATCACGATACTCACTCGTACCGGGATCCGTCTGGCTATCAACCATCTCATCCGGCTTTCGATATTCAAACAGTCGGTGCTCGTGCAGAAACCCAAGAGGGCACGCCACGGACAGTAACATCTTGGCAACCTTTCTTTCTACACAAATTGGTCTTATGGTCGTTTTCGGTCGTATTTGTCCTGTGTCTGTTAGGAACTGCTCTGCTATACGAAATATCACGGAGAAACAATGGTCTAAGCACACAACACGATATCAATCACTATGCGTGGAAGTATGGCCCAAGCGCAGGTATGTTATGCTCCTCTTGATGTATTCCCGCGCCGGGAAAAAAAGTTAAAATCTCATATGATGCAGTTCTTACCATCATCCTTTACCTTTGGTACAGCATCGATCTGTCGGTCAGATCATTGCTACCTTGGCAAGAACTCCGCAGAGGGCCAAAACCGGCAGCAAAGACTGTTTTACTAGACTATATTTCACCGTTGATCACGACTAGCCTCTGGCGTGCTTTGAAGAATTGCCATTGGCCTGTTGTACTGACCATCACCGGGCGTCTGCTAATACTACTTGCCATCGCCTTCTCAACCGGTCTTTTAGTACTGAGTCCAACCGAAGTTGAACTTGGGGATATTTCGTTGGTTGCCGCCAAGCTTGATGCGAAATCTTTCAAGGCGGAAGATGTCGGTCCAGTTGCAGCTGATATGTATTATGGTGTTCAGTTTGGCAATTTGGTAGCCCCAGTAGGAACTTTCCGAGACACCTTCGTTTCACCTTTCACTCCTCGCAACGGATATGAGGCCAGTGGTATCCCTGCTGGTGCCGCATTGAGAGCGACAGTTCCTGGAGTCCATTTCTCAATGGATTGTGAGGTTCTTGACATCAAGAACTCGGCTACGGTCTCTCCGTCACGGGGCCCTCAAAACGATGCTTCTGTGCCCGGCGATTACTTGGTTATCAACGTTACCACTCCATCCTGTAATATCAAGGGTGCAATTGTTGGGATAGGGCCTAATAGCAGGAAATTTGTTGGAATGAATCCTAACAAAGATGAACATGACTATCAAGCCCGGGTTGCGGATTATGTATGCAATCTTGAATGGAACTACAACGACATCTACGACGCTAGTCTCGGAGCCGGCCCATTACTCAACTTGTCAACCGCGCCGTGGTCGAACGCATCGTTTGATCACCGCGTCTTGCTGTCCGTGACAGACGTACACGTACGACTTTCGGAGAGCAGTCTCGGCATGGGAAAAGTTACCGCAGTGTTGTGTAAACCTTCCTACGCAACAGGCGCCTATCTGGCTGAGTACGACGGCGTCTCCCGAACAGTTGAAACCGAGGCTTTGATGCCAGATGGGCAGACCAGTCATGATCTTCCTGGATTCTCGCAAAGCGAACTGGGACCTGCGGTATTGAGTGCCATTAGCCAAGTGGACTCTGTTGACTTGCGTGGAGAGCAAACTCGATGGACAGGTTTCCCCCCGCCGTTGTTTGGACTAATGAAGTTGCAGCATAATGTTTCAACTATCAGAGACTTCCAAGATGCTGGATTACTCAAGGAGAGCTTCTCCGAGGTTTTCAATGGCGTGGCCGCTCAGCTTGCGCGTCACATGCTCATGGTTCCAGGAGATGAGAGTAATGATATCAGAGGCTCTGCCAGGTTCACCCAACACCGACTCCATGTCACAGATTTATCGACTGGTATCATGTGTGCTGCATTGTCCCTTCTGATTATCATCAGTGCCAGCCTGGTCTTCTTTGTACCACGGGACGTGGTTGTCTCGGAGCCCGGCTCTGTTCTTGCTACTGCGTCTTCTGTCCAACTGGGTATAGAAACGGAGAGACTCCTCAAAGGGCTTGGACAAGCTCGTGATGTCAAGATCCGCCAAAGTCTTGAATCATATCTCTTCGTCAGTAGAGTGGGCGAAACAGGAGGGGAGATTTCTATTGAAGCGTCAAACCCACAGCATGGAACCCCCAGCAAACCTTCTAAGGTCATCAGCGGCGAGCTTCAATGGTGGAGGCCATTGGGAAGCCAGAATTGGTTCCTGCTTCTGTCAATCGTCGTTCCGCTGCTACTTATGGGACTTCTTGAGCTATTTCAAAGGCAATCTGCTGAGCACAACGGATTTGTAGATGTCCGATCCAGATTTGGCGAGGTGGCGGCAAACTACGTGCCAGCTATCATATCAATGTCTGTTGGAGCGATGTACTCAAGCATCGTGGCAGCGGCTGCAGTTTTTGCGCCCTACGCTACATTATCTAAAGGAACTACACAAGCCTCGCGTTCCATAGCCGTCAGCTATGTCACGCAAACAGGGCCCCGACTGGTTTATCGCTCCTTAAGAAACAGGCACTTCGGCGTCTCGACAATAACCTTAGCTCAACTAGTCGCGTCCACTCTCACCATCGTACTTTCGGGTCTGTACAGCACAGTTGAAGTGCCTTTCCAGGCAGATATTGCACTTCAGCAGCTGGACACCTTTAACATAAGCGACACCATCTCTACTGGCCAACCTAACGCTGGTCTGTTGACCAAACTGATCACTTATCACAATTTGTCATTTCCAAGTTGGACGTACGACTCTATAGTCTTCCCGCAGGTCTCGGTGGTAGATGCACCAGCTTTCCGAGATGAGATAGCCGACGCCACGATCAAGAGCCACCTACCAGGAATCCGTGGCAATTTGAACTGCACTTCTATGCCTTCGCGGCTCTTTCATACCTCTATTACAGACCAGAGCTCCATTGAATCAAATGGTCGGCAGGATCTCCCTCTATGGAATTACTACGTCCCAAAGAACGGCATGGACCTGGTTCTCGAAGTAAACCGGCCTTTACCCGCATCCTTATTGTGTGATGATCACGAAGAAAACAACAACAAAACATTAATTTGGACTTCGCACTTTTTCCTAAAGAATGATTCGACACCGAGTGCTTTCGGCAAAGTAAGCCGAATCCAGTGGAACAGCCAATTTTCTGGCGGTTCCAATGACATAGGCCGTCGCTCAACCAAAGCCGATCGCAGCACCCATGAATTACGCGGGTGCCCTACTGTTGGCATAACTCTGGGACACGTAACCGCCAAGCTACCCCACAACGTTACAAACAAGTACAACACAACATATATAGAATGGACGCCTACCGATGTCGACATCGGTACATTGCTATGCTGGCCAGAGTTCGAAGAGGTTGAGGCAGACGTTGCATTCAACTGGCCTGGACTTGAACTCTCGAGCACTAGCCCGCCCGTCATCAATGAGTCTAGCATGAACAAAGTGACAAACCCAACAACCAACAGTTCAACCTGGGATTGGGACTTTGCCGGCGACGAGTACAGCGTGTGGGATAGCCTTAAAAACACGAACGATCTTCTCACACAATACGGCTATCTCCAAGACGAGACGAATTTCGACCCATTCATTCTAGCGCTGATCAATGGCGGGTATTCCGTCCCGCTGGAGCAGATATCGGGCGAAAACAACACCGAGGCATTGTTCCACGAGGTGCAAGCACTGTGGGGTAGATACATGGCACAGTCGATCTCACAAAATATGCGATTGGACATCGGTACGGTATCCCAGACAACATCATCAAGTCTGACCACACGAAGTGGGAGCTTGCAATTGCCCAGAGTAGTGGAGTCAGGGCCATCAACGAAAACATACCCTGCCAATGTCGAAGCCGCGGCAACAAAAACGCGAAGGCGATTGAAGCAAAATGGATCGTCAAAGATTGCACTGCAGGCAATGCTCGGTTCCATGGTAGTGGGTGTAATATGTATGCGTGCTTTGGTCAGTTTCCGGAAGATCCTGCCACATAACCCAACATCGATCGCTGGGTCGGCCGCGCTGGTCGTGGATGGAAATCTTAGAGATATGGCAGCTATTGTCCCCAGAGAGCAATTGCGCGATAACAAAGGCCCTGCGCATTACATCAGGGTGCAATCTTCTGGCGAAGTGAACGAAGATGCCCACGAATCCGGGCACCTATATACCATGGGGTGGTGGAATGACGGCGGTTTCCGCAAGTTTGGTGTCATGTTTGCCGAGGGCAGGGACAGAACATGAACGGGCTCAGATGCTGGGAGGCTTTACCAGCTTGTGCCATGAAACCAACCAAAAACAACGGCGTAAGGTTCACTAGGGACAATAGGAAGGAATTCAGCATCTAGAAAATATGCGTTCTTTCTATCGGCATCACAATGTCGCCAATTAGAGGGCTATCACGGCAGTGCATTAGGTTTACAGAAGGTCCGGTGAGACACCGAACAGTGTCCGCCATATAATCCCCATCTTGTCCCTTCTCCTTGAAAGGGGACAAGATTCAGTCTCTTGATGAATTGAACTATACGTTTGGACTTCTGATTATACCTGACCTCACAATCCCCTTGACCCCGGGGGGGTTCTACTCCCCCCGATCACCAACTTGATTCTGCTCTGGCCTGGCCGGTAGCGATTATAACCTGCTTCTCCAAAAGCTCCAAGGTAAGTTCAGCATGAGAGCTGGATGACTCAGGCTTGGGTTAATATCAGGAAAGTGTTCAACCTGAAACCTGAGTTAGTTTAATGGCTCACAGAAACTCGCATCTGCAACTTCGTTCAAGTAGAACCTGTCTGACAAGTTCGACCGGCCGGTGACTGGCTACTATTCGCTTGTTGCTTCCACTAGTTGCCCAGAAAATGGAACTTAATCGCTTGCGGGTCTTGGAACACCCCGCGTCCTAATGAAGACTCGCGTGCTTGGTGCCACGTCACTGAAATAGATCCGTAATGCGCTATTGATTCAGCCTCTCGATTAATTGTGGTCTTCGTGATGACTACCCCTGCATCCAATGGCTTGGGAAATTACCGAACCCCGCCCACCCGACTTCGGTCAAAAAGGTTGCTTCGTCTTCCAGCTGTGTTCAGGTATGTAGGAATCCATCTCATTTCGATAGCATCTACAGAATGACATGTAAGGAGAAGTTGCCCGAGTTGGCAGCCACTCCTGCGATTCACCCTACGCTTCAGAGCAACATCGTCAAGGGAGCTTACCCAAGTCCTCCGAGTTCACCACCGCGAGCGGAGACCAAAAGCATCAATCATGAAAAGGCATCTCAGAAGGCAAGCGACCTCACTGACGGGTCTTGGACAGTACCCTGCCCATCATCGACGTCCCAAAAGGGACAGCTGGAAGAGAACAGCGAAGCCCCGAACGCGCGAAGCCTGAGTGATAGGCTTGGTCTCGAAAACTGGCGGTGTGGAGGTCTTACTCTCAATAAAACACCTTGTTTGATCAATATCCCCAAGGCAAATCGCAGTAAAATCCATCAATTGGTCGAATCCATGAGCTCCCTTCCTGAATCGTCCGACGGGCTAGAAGCCAAGCTCGATGGACTGGCAAAGCTTGTACATTGTCGATATCATAAAGTTGGCAAAGCCAGAGATCTTCGAATATCGCAATGGAGGATGGAGTTTCCCAGAGAGCTCAATGGTACAAAAGCGACAGTTATCACTGTTGAACAGCAAATCAGAGATATGATAGGCAGCGTTGCCATTACGTGCATCGCTGAAGTGGACCCTGGAATGCCGTGCGAACAACGGATTGGGGGTCAAAAGGTTCAAAATTGCTGGAGGTCTATTGATGAAATTGTGAAGCCAGAGGTTTATTTCCACACCCACAACCTGAACGGCCTTCTAAAAGTACTCGAAACGAACATGTACTGCAGCACGCATGAGGCTGAAGCGTTAAAGTATACAATGCAGTGGAAGTCGAAAATTGATAAGATCACGGGCTTTATTGCGGAGGCGACCTCCACAGAGAAAGCGCCGCAAACGTTAGATTTGGATTTTAGCCGTGGACCTGCCGGGTTTTGGCCAATAACCAATGATGACAGTGCGTTCGAGGTTATTGACAGATGCAACAAATCCATTCCGCCCGCCACTGAGATTCCAATATATATTGGTATTCAGAAGGTACTAAGCAACCATTCCCCCGACGTACAAGATGGATTCGTGTACATCTTTGAAGTAGCCGGAAATAAAGGGCTAGTCAAAATTGGGTATACTGGTGCTTCAGTCGAAGAGCGGCTATCAAGGTGGAGCTTCGATTGTAATAGACAAGCAGTGCTTCTATACCCACTTGGCAATGGTCTCAAAGTCCCCAATCCCCGTCGCATTGAGAGCCTATGCCATGCAGAATTGAAGCACTGCAGGATTAAGATATATTGCCGCGTTTGTTCAAAGCAGCATATCGAGTGGTTCGAAACATCTCCTCAAAAGGCTATCGCGGTGGTTCAGAAGTGGTCCCACTGGATGAGGAAACGACCATACGAAGAAAGAGTATTGAGGAAGGGCAGCAAATGGTATCTTAAAGAAATTGAAGCGAAGAAAATTCTTGCCATACAAGAATTTATGGACACGGTAGCCGCTGACTCCGCACTGCAACTTGAGGAGTCAGGTGCGCTGGAAAATGAAGACTCGATACCGCCGAGCCGTGGGTACGATTCAGCTTGTCATACACGCCTTCGCCAAGTTGGCGGTCTCAATGTAAATGAATCAATAGAAGCTTAGTTTATTATAAAGAAGCCGCAAATCTGACTGTTGATCTCTCCTCGACCGGCGGACGAGGTGTAGCGTATCCCAGGAAAGATTTTGTTTGTCGTGTGTCCGATCATGCATATGTATCCACTCATCGGCACTTCTGATAGACAATCGGCTCCAGTATTGCCTTGTTCCAAGTCTTGCAAGACGTGAAGTGCACATGAAGAATGTAGCCACGCAGAAATAGTACCAGTGAGCAGAACTCTGAAGAACTCTTCCACCTAGCATACCTACTCTAGCCTAAACCATTCCAGCTCCACGCCGCGCTGCGTCAACCTTTCTGGCGATATTCGTGGGTCAGAGTTGATTGTCTCGCCTGTAATCTTGTTGCGCCAAGAGTTCATGACAATCGGGTCACTAGCTGTACGCCTGAATTCACGGCATTCCCAATCTTCCAAAGGCTCCAGCCGGGGATCATCGCGACGAACCTCGCCATTCTCCGTGTTTTCAAACAAGTATGCCTGACAATCAGCAAACTCGCGCGAAGGCTCAACTTTCACTCTCCACGGCTTCGGGAGGGGCCCCAGTAGGCTAAACCCGTCAGTCAGGCTTTGAAGCAAGCATTCCCCAGACACCCTGTATTTGCCTGCCGTGCTCTCTCTGAGAACCATCGGCGAATCACAGCCGAGAAGAACACAGATAGTGTCACCCACTTCCGTATCGTAACTTGCCAAGCCCAACTCTCCATCTTCAGTTACTATCAACATCCTATTGTGGAGGACCTCAAAACAGGTGTGCCCAAAAGATGACCGCACATGTTTACCGGACGCAAGGTTGGGGCCGTCCTCTTTGATCTGATGGATGAATTCATCTACAGTTGGCCAGTGGCGTGCTTCCGTTCGGGGTGAGAGATGATTCCTGCAGATAGTCCTAGCAAAATTCTCTGACAGGTCTTCATCTCGACCATACTGATCGATCCATTCTCCAAGTAGTGCTAACCCTTTGGGGTCGTATCTCTTGAAGACAGGTGATATTGCGCTGACTTTAGCACACTTAACTCCGAGTGCTCGTAGAACATTTGGCTGCTCCAGGGATGTGTAAGAACGCGAATATGCGGCTGAAAACTGCCATCGCAGGGTAAACACTATGAGTGTTTGGCCACACCAATCTGGCACCCATGAAGGGACAGTAGCGAAATCGTGGGGTTCACAGTGCCGCAACAGCTCAAGCCTGTTGGTGTAACTGATATGTGACTGGACCAAGTCCTGATACACAGTCGCAACTGGCGAGGAATATTCCGGCACGATCATTTGTCGGAACGCCGCGGGAAGCAAACCCAGTAAGCCGTAAACCTTGTCTCGCGGATCATAGCACTCTAATGTAGTCGCCTTTCTGAAGAGCTCAGATATGGGCTGCCCTCTCCTGTGAGCATACTTATGGACCTGGGATATTTTGCCGTCGAACTCGGGAGAAATAGAAGTATTCGTGTACAGGCAGGCAATAGCACGTCTAAAGGTGCTCAAGTCCATGGCTTCATTTCCACACATCAATAACGATTGCGAGTTTGCCAATGAAGCCTCCTGTAGCACCCAGAGTCGGTCAAACCATGTCCGCGCGAACAAATTTTCCATGGCATTCCACATCGAGGTATCGATTTTCTGTGTGAGATCAGTGCGGTGATCGTACCAATCCTTTTCCTCTCCATCGGGGTGGGGATTCCAGTGATTCTCCGTGGTGATCGAGACTTGCATCCCGACATAATGCAAAATCTTCAGCGCCAGGCCACTCGTTGCATCAGCAGGGCCAAGCCATATCACGACCCTATAGGCATGCTGATATATATCGGCCATCCTCAACACTTGCTGGTCCCTTTCTGCTTCATTATTCTGATCAATGCATAATTGGTCTATCCATAGGACTCGATCATGGTCAATATGCCTGAGATGACGTAGAGAGGTTACCTCGGCAATAGTTAGGGGTTAGCGTTTCTTGTCAAGGCAGTCCTCTAGAGACAGATAGGAAATCGGCCAAGGGGGATTAAGTCGAACTCTGGAAGTGACATACCAAGGTGGATCGCAGGCTCATAGATTTGGGCCCGGAGAGACGATCGCCCTGCACATTGACTTCCTCCAACTCTGTCTCCGTGCCCCATACGTACGACAATGCTTCATATTCCAGCTGATAGATGGTTTCTGGCTGCTCAACATAGTCTTCGGCCGGAACCTCCGGGTCAGGATGTCTCCAATAGGCAATCCAATGACTCCCTGTGTATCCGAAAAATATGTATCTTCCCTCTGTAGTCTCTTCGACAATCCAGCCTGGAGGCAGAGTCCGCTTGATCTCACATAGAGGTTTCCTAGTGTCTTTCGTCCGAGTGGGAGGGTACAGGGGTACATGACCAATTCGTATGCATAGCGGGTCATCCCAAGTGCCAGCCTGGATAGTAACAAGGCGGATGTCCCTGCCTGGATCTTCGAGGGGTGTATAGATGTAACGCTGTGGGGTCGTATTGCCCGCTGTGACACCACGCTCGGACATTCTGCTCTGAAATGTTTATAGACTTGATTGAAATGCGCGTTGCGGCGAGCTTGAGTTCAACTCGGGACGGTGCGGGGCAAAATCTCAGCTGCATTGGCGGTGGTCCCCTGCCCTGCTCAGCCTCACCATAACTTTGCTTTGTAGCCGATGATTTAAGGCTGTGCGTGAGATCTGATTTTGCAATAATTAGGACACTACGGGCGTTTGGTTTGCAATTTCAAACACGACATAATAGCAGTGGTCCATTGTCATACAAAGCTTGCTATGTAGGGAACGTTTCTTTTTGGGAGAACCATTCACACCCCGCACCTCAGACCGCCATGGGAAACTTGATCTTTGACGTTTGTTACGAACGCATTCATCGCCTAAACTCTCTACACCAATGCTTACACCGACCTCCTCACTCCCTTCACCACCATAAACAAGGTCCCGCAAGAGATCATTGACAATATCGTCTCCTTTTTCCCACACGGGCCGTAGCGCCGGGTTGGATCCACTGTGGAAATGGGACCTGTTCTGGACGCCATTTGCCACCATCTCCAACAGATTTCAAAGGGCGGTTGAGCACAATACTTTTAGGACCATCCACATCAATAGCGATGAGCTCCAGACGTTCGAGGCCCGCTTTTTTTTTTTTTTTTTTTTTTTTTTTTTTTTTTTTTTCCCAACGCGCCAAGCTTCTCTGCACGTGCTGATTTCCAGCATCATCTTCCCCGCCATTGGTCTAACCATAGCGCAACGTTTCAAACCTGTAAAAACCGAAGCCGTCAGTGAGATCTTCAGTCGAGAGCTTCAGCAGCTTTTTCAAACTCTGCTCAGATTACATAGTCTGAGGGACTTTGACCTTTACATTTCATTTCAGACGTCGTTCGTGGGCCAGAGCCCCGGACGGAGAAGATGTACAATAAAGACACACATAGTTATGAGAACTATCGGCATCTCCGCACCCGCATGAATCTGGTCAACCCCGATGAGATATCTTGTATAAGTAGTACATCGCGGCTGCTATTCCCGGGTCGGCAGCGTGCACCTGCTCCTAGTGTCCAGCTTGATATCGCGACGCGTATAGAAGGGCTCCGAGTACTGGATTTGCGGCTTGATGGTTTCGAGATGCGATATCCGGGTGTCCTCAGAGACGACCGAAAGAACCTATCATAGCCCCTAACGATGCATTCGGAAGCAACAAAGATGATTTCCGATGCACAGTTCGATATGAGCTTAGTCGGAGGTACACGTACCCAGACCAGGCCGATGCCATGCCTTATATATCCGGAGGGATACGATCTGCTCGGAACTTCAAAACGAGCCTGGTCTCAGCGCCTAAGCTCTTTTCACGTGCTGTGCGTTCTTGACGGATCCCTATTCTGGCCTTATGCTTTAGAGAATGCAGCCCCCACGCCCCAGTGGCGCAAAATGGAGAGTTATGTTGTGCAACTAGAACGCCATACAGCTTCTGGATACTGTTACTTTATGCCCGAAGGCCATGCGTTATATGGCATGCGCCTTCGCCACCAAGCCGATGGCCCAGAGGACCGACTGCCGGCTTTGCATAACGAAAATGCCGGTATTGACTCAGATGTGGATACAGATTACGATTTCGAGCTGGGAAGTGTCCCAACATATCATATTGATAATCCCTCCGATGAAGAAGAGAATTATGGGAACGCCTGTAATTTGATCGGCGCTAGAGTTCGTGAATTAATTGTCCGTGAAGTCCATGATGAGGAGATCATGCAGTCGCTTTTCGAGGTTTTGGCCAATGCATTAGCCTGCATGCCCTCGGTATGGTAGGCGAAACTATGTTTCAGTGTTGGGATTTTTAACGAGTGGGATTACGAAGATGACGAATTATAAAAAGTGGATTGGGAGGCTGTTTACGAAGCGCCCAATTTCAAGGACTTGATATGGGGTGACAACTGGAACGCTCGAGAACGTAGCAGCAGGCGCTTGGTTTTCCGCAACACACAAGGCTAGCGGCGTAACAAATGGACCATGGATATCCTCAACCTCTTTGGGGAGGAAAGACACCCGGGGATTGAAATGACGGTTATCACTATTGATACTTACGACAAAATTTTTAAGGTACTATAACATCGCTAAACATGATGCCATCTCGGGAAACAATACAAAAGCTACATCAGTAGGTTTGTTGGCCGGAATGTTTTATGTAACAAAAGCGGGAAACCCAAACTGTGAATAATACTAGTTAACATGTCAAGTAATAAAGGCGTAATCAACAGTGAAGTGGCCCATATCATTGAGTGGACTTACTTATAGTTAAGTGCAGTACGCATCTATGGTACAACCAACGCAGCGGTGGCGCAGGCAAGCGCAATCCCATAAAACTACATGTATGTACTGACCGCCGCCCGTTACACATTTATGCTACTATTACTGTCCGTCAACGTATTATTCTGTTAGGGCAAGCTCTCTTGTCCTTCACTGCCATACCATCTACTGGCCTAGCCGTTATCTGTCGTAAACCCCGGTCCGGCATATCTTGTCTAGGTTGAGACAGCATGATATGTTGCAACAAATTGATTGCGTCGTTATTCTTGATTGCCATGGATTATTGGTCTACAGCTGTTGGTGCCGCCTGAGTAAGTGTTAGGGTTAAGTTACCAAGCTGCCGCTACTGAAATGAAATTATCCGTTCCTTAAAACCATTCCGATGCATTACGTTCGAAAACATCAACTTCGCATATCGATGACTCGTAGGCCATTTGTTGGTCGTGTCGGTCATTGACAAACAGCCAAGCAGTTGCGTCTAACTTACCATGTGTCGCATCACACAAAACGGCAGATTGCACACGTTATGGCGCACGTGAAATTTCATAGCTAATCTCTTTGCCCCAGTCCCTCTCCTTCGAAAATGGCCTGAGTGTGGGATTGGATGCCGTATAACCACAAGGTTACTCAGCTATCTTCAGCATTGTACTACGTAGGTGGTAGGCAGGTAGGATGGCAGCATTGAGCAACACAGGGCATTGTAACTGCTGCGCCTCCCGTCACACCAATCATGTCAAGCCATCGCGCGGAACCCTGTGCAGGTCGTAAAGTTCCATGCAGGTTTGTGAAATATCCAGACCGCGAGCTTATGTGTCTGCAAGCGCTAATTATATGGTACCTGTGGTTGCCTGACTGCAAGGGGCTGTAATCGACCAACCAAAGATAACTTCTTTCACCGCCATAACATTGGTATCAAAGCACAGACACATATTGACAGACGTGTGAACAAATCCCGCTGCCTGATGCACTTCGATTTGTACCTCTTAAGACAACCTCCCCCCGCCCCCCCTCCAAAGAAGAAAGAAAAAAGAAGAAAAAAAAGTGAGAGAAGACAGACAGCTTCACCACTAAACATCTCTCAAAGACCTTCCTGTGAGACTTTGGCCAAGATGACGACTGCCCCTAACGATGTCGAGGAGTATGACCAGTCTAAGTTTTGGGTCGCTCCGGCCAGAAATTTCCGATCTTCAGCACGCCTGCACTTACAGCATTATCTCATGCAGAATACTCTCGGCTACCTCTTAGAGCCCGCCGTCGAGAAGTCCGTCGTCAGCTCCCAGCAGCTAAAGATTGCCGACCTCGCGTGCGGCAATGGCATATGGCTAACTGAGCTGTACTCCAGCCTCAGCAAGAGCGGAATATCCGCCCAGCTGGATGGCTTCGATATCAACCCCACCAATTTCCCGGACCCCTTTTACCTCCCGGCCTCTGTTACTCTCAAAGAGCTAGATATACTCAAGAAACCGATACCCGCCGAGCTTATTGGTATTTATGATGTTGTTCATATTAGAGCGTTTGTTAGCGTCATCCCCGACTCGAACCTAACGCCTTTGCTCTCTGTGGTTTCAGAGCTTCTGAAGCCGGGTGGATTTCTTCAGTGGGAAGAAACTCGGGGTGATAGATTCATTGTGGAATCGCCTTCACCGCATATATCCAAGGTTGCATGTGATACGATTATACAGGTGCTTAAGGAAGGCCAGCAGGCCAGAGGCATCCGTAACGATTGGGTAGATGAGTTGGACCAGTATCTGGACCGCTATGGCTTTCAAGGTGCGCGCTTGCGCGTGCATGAGAAGAGGAAACAAGACTTCAAGGGCTGGACTGAAGATTACCTGATGGTTTGGGAGGATCTGGCCATCTTTTTCCCGCCAAAATCAAAGGAGCCCAGCGCGCCATTGTCCCGCGAGGCCTGGATTGATATGTTTGCAAACAGCGTCACCGAGACGGAGCAAGGCGTTGTGATCCACCAAGGGAAAGTCATGACTGCAGTTGGCCAGAAACCGCTATAATGTGAATGGTGGACGGCTGGTGCTTACAACCCTCTCATCTTCAGCCGATGCATAGTTAATAAGTAGCAGAGCGAGGTCATTCTTCTCCCGTGCTCGTTAATGAGTAATAAGTTGCTGCATAGCATGTTTCAATACGTCGACATTCTCCATGGTTGGCATTGGGTGGCTAGGCTTTATGACAGAAGATGGCTGCCAGGTGGAAGAATGTTTAACGGGTATAGTAACAAACGGCTGACAACTGAGTTGCCACGGTATGGCTTTTCAAGGCTACTGCTGGACGCATGTCCTCGCGCCTCTTGCACAAGCATAGCGCAAGTGCAACCTCTCCCAACTAGACCGCCAAATGGCCCAAGCATTGATATTGGATCTGATTTCGAACTAACTATTTCACAGATAGGGGGCAAGATGTTTGAACATATCAGTGGGGGCCAAGGGCAACGCCAATGGATAGAAAGCGCGTGGTAGCACTATGGTCCCACATATGCCACCTTGTTACAATCGTTTGAGAAAGTCATGCATTCTGGCGATGTATGATGTACTGTTCAATGCCATGAAATAGCACCCTGTCGACCAGTCATCCCGCGCCTGTGCTCATCTGGTATGCGGCCCTGTCGTAGTCTTACGGCGTCTACTCGGTCCGTCTTGTTCATCCGCAAGCCCTTTCAACTTCCATACAGGCTAGGACGCCCATAACTAATGTCTGCGGGGGTTAGCACCCTCTGGGTTCCTTCAGCGTGTTGCTTCCAAGCGGAACTCGGATATCATGATGCTGAGCCTCATCGTTCTCGAGTGAATATAGATTTAGTTATGCGACCATTGTTCTAGTACTTGTGATGGGTGACTAGAGTGCAAAGTTCGAATTCAAGCAAATTGTTGGAGGTGCCTCCTTAATGGCTGCAAGATCTGGCGAGACTGCACAACGGCTCAGCATCCATATCAGAGCATCTCTTGGGGAGGACCACCTAGGGTATGTCCATTAGTTCTTCGCCCGCTTTAGAACAGGCGGTGCACAGGGTGGCTATGATTGGACGATGATAGCGCATCCTGTAGCCAGTGGTAATCCATAGTACTTAAGGGGAATGAACCTGTATAAGAGATGTCCTGGTACGACCTCGCGATCGAGGCTGCGTTCAAAGTATATGTAACAGGGAATTTTGATTTGTTAGATGAATATCAACTGCAGAAGGTCCAGTCCGAAGACTGGCTGCGGTTGGCCAAGTCGCAGATCTGTGGAACGTAAAGACAATTGTGAGGAATATATGTTTATTATAGTCGTACAACAGAAGCGCCGCCCGCGATGGCTCTTGCATCAGGGGGGTGGCGGAGGGGCCTCGAGAGTGTTCTGCAGGCCAGTGACCTGTCTATACGTATGTATCCCTTCGTCTATTCAAAATTTTGGCAACCCTGAACACCCGGCAAGCAAGACCGTCAAAGAACCACAAGGCGGGGTATCAAGCGCGAACTTGACCCCGAGTGACGTAAAAGAAAGACCCGAACATGTTGTTTTTACTCCAGCCCTTCTCATCTCTTACTCACGGGAGACATCACGACCGTAGATCTTGGCCTTGATCCAGTCCAGGGAGACAAGGACACGGTTTCGGGCTGTGGTTGGGGGATTAGCATTAGAGTGGCCTCGGGGAATCACGTGTAGGAACTTACTGCTGAAGCACATGCTGAGGTATGCGCTACGCCAGAAGAAGTAGGTCAATTTGCCGCCAGAAGCGACGTTGCCGTTCAACCAGGCGACATCAGCGACAGCCTTCTCGCTGCCAATGTAGGCCAAGCTACCCTGGTGGGAGTAGTGGAAGGGCTTGACGTCCCTTGTGCGTCGAAGACGCTTCTCGACGGTCTCGATCTCCTGGGTGATCTCGGCGGTGTTACCAGGCTTGAGGTTCAAGTTGGAGCTCAGCTCGCGGATCTTGTTCTCGAGGGCCTCAGTCTTGGCCATGTTGTTAAAAAGACCAGCCAAGAAGGCTCCCTCTTGCGAAGCCACCTGTGCGGTAGGTGCGTAGCCGGCCACGGCGCAGTCACCGACGGCCCAGATATCGCGGGTGCCCTGGACGACCATGTACTCGTTCACGGCGAGACCGCGTCTCGAGTCCTTCTGGGCGGGAATCTGAGACATGAGATCCTTGACGATGGGGCGCAGAGCGTTACCAGTAGCCCAGACCAGCAGACCGTAGGGGATGGTGACGGTCTCCTTGGAGCCATCAGGGTGAGTGATGACGGCCTCGACGCTCTTGTCGGTGACCTTCTTGACCATGGTCTTGGTCTTGATCTCGATGTGCTCCTCCTTGAAAGTGCTCTCGGTGTAGTCGATCAACTGCTTGCTGAACATGGGCAGGACGTTGGGAAGGGCCTCGATCAAGGTCACCTTGAAGCGGTCAGCAATGTCGGGGATCAGCTTCTTGATGTCGTCGTCGAAGAAATCGCGCAGCTCGCCGGCGAACTCAACACCAGTGGGGCCACCACCGACGACAACCATGTGCAGTAGGCGGTCGATCTCCTCGGTGGCCTGGTCCTTGAAGGCGGCAGTCTCGACACAGTCCATGATCTTGGTACGGATGGCCTGGGCGTCACGGATCTCCTTCAGGAAGCAGGAGTGGTCGCGGACACCGGGGATGCCAAAGGTGGCGTTCTCGGCTCCGACACCGATGACAAGCATGTCGTAGGGGACCTCGTTCTCGGTAATGGTGCCCTTGATCTCACTGTTATCGGTAATCTTGATGACCTTGCGGGCGTGGTCGATCTGAGTAGCCTCGGCTTCGTAGTACTTGACGGCGGCCTTCTTGTGACGGAGAATCTGTCGCACAGGCTCCATGATGGAGCGGTGCTCGATCTGGCCAGTGGTGCATGAGGGGAGCAGAGGAGTGAACAGGAAGTAGTTGCGCGGCGAGATGACGACAACGTTGTAGTTCTCGGTGTCGAGCTTCTTCAGCAGGGCGACGGAACCCCAGCCGGTACCTTTTAGGCGCACGTGTCAGCGGCCATCACAAGCAAAGCAGTGAGAGATGCAGGCCCAACGCCAGAGCTCCAGGTTCCATCAATTGGGAGGGCGATTGACTTACCGAGGATGACCAGAGTCTTCTTGTTAGGGTCCGGGACGAATTGGTCCTCCGGGTGGCGCGCAACGTAGCCGTCGTAGACGACGTAGCCGATGGAACCGAGGACGGAGAGGTAGGTCAGGCGCCAGAGCCATCTGAAGACGCGCACCTTGCGCTTCTTGACGGGGGCGGCGGGCGCAGAGTCGGCGTACGTCCTCCGGAACTGTCGCGATAATATCTGGCTCTGCTGTGTTCTGGGGAGGCGTGCTGAGGGTGCAGCGAATTTTCGCGCAGATGACGTCGTCGTGATGCTCGCGATTCTCGACGCGGCCCTGGCGGCCGGGAGCTGCATTTGTGCTCTGGGAGCAAGCTGGGGACCGGCAAGCCGGGTCAGAGCCCGTGATGATGAAGCCATAGCTTCCAAAGCCTGATTGTGAGGTGCAGTGGTCGGAAGTATATGATACAGGCAGGCCGAGGGGGGTTGTTGACTTATCAGGAGCAAGCCAAAGTGGACGTCACAGAAAATTTCCAGATTCTGAGGTGAGCATGGGATCTGGGAGTCACAGGGCCCCTGCTTGCCTGCCTTGCCTGCCACCCACGTTACGGCAGTGGGCCCCCGTAGCTGGGGCCCGTCGGGTCCGCTGGGTCTGCAGCTGGGTCCCCTGGGCGCTGATTAGCCCCCCTAGGCCGCTAGGCTCGCTACCTAGGCTGCACTGTGTAGGGGGAGCTCGTCGTCAAGTTTTTCAGGTGCACTTTTCTTCTCCCTTCCCGTGATTTAGCGTGCCCAGTGATTAATCGCTGGCCTCTGATAAGCCCGTCGGCCACATTTCGCTGCATCTCTCCTGCGCGTCTGTCTGTATCTGCTATCACTGTCGTCTCATACCAGCGTCAGTGCACCCCCCGCCAGTGTCGATTGCCCTTCCACCGGCTCTCAGACGGACGGGCAATAAGGCCGGGCGGACATATGGCTCGCTGAAACTTCCAAGCATGCAGCCCCCGAGGCATGCCTAAATCGGCGCGGCTGCGTTGCAGACTCGAAGCAGCTAACTAGCCGACATGGTCGAGTTTCCGAGTACCGAAAGGGACGCGCTTGGCATCAAGGTACGCCGGAGCTTGCTCGGCTTTTTGCCCGTCAAGCGCCTCGCTTCATTCAACTCCAGCCTCTGGTCAGTCAGTCGTACCCCCGTCTCGCGGCGCTCTATCCGTCATTCGTCGAGGTCGGGCTGCACCCACGCAACAATGAGTGTGCGTCTCGCTGTTTTCTCGTTCTATGGAATGATTTATATCGCGAGCTTGGGCGCGAGAATAACAGACCGTCTCGCCGTTCGGGACTCACCAATACTGTGGCCCCCCATCAGCCTCACCGAGCCCTACAGTCGTAGTCAGATAGGCCCGTCAGATAGAAACCCACCGGCAACACTTGCCAATTGGAGTTTAAGGGGAGATCTACTCGGGCCCCAGCGCAAAACGCTTCCTGGACGACTGGCCTGCTTAGGCTGGTTTTCCCGCAAGGCTGGCCAGCCTCAGAGGGGCAATTCCTCTCGTGCGAATCTCGTAGTTAACATTTTCGTGGCGCTATTGACCCCAAAGGCGACTAGCCACCCTTTTGCCCTATCGCGTCCGGGTAGATGGGCTGCCATAGCGCGCTTCCAGTGTTCCAACAGACTGCCCTGTGGCGTTTGTCCTCCATACGTCCGCTCGTGCATTGACTTTCGGGTCCCGAATCAAGCGATTCGTGCATCTTCCCAGGGCATTATTATCGTCATTTAGTGTCGGACATACTTTATAAGCGTCAAGTCGCCTCGCGAACGAGATACCACCCAGAACCTGCTCCAGGTCTACGTAGCTACATGCCCCAAGTTTGTCCCTGTCTTGGAGCATCGCTCTTCGCTATTGGCGCACCAATCAGAGACAAGCTACTTTAGTTGACCAAAGAAAAGTTGGGTTCGGCAACCAAGACTATACATGAGTCACAGGTGCGGTCATCTTGACTTGGTGCCATCTCGTACCGGAAGTTGTGTCACGGCACCAAAGCACACATTTTGATGGCGGCACTCAAGTAGAAGACCGCCACGTTATTATTATAAGGTTATGAGAAGAACATATGTAATGAGAAGTACACAAGTACACGTGTAATCTCGTTGAAGTACATGCGCAATGGGGATACATGAATAATGAGGATACATGCGTTATTAGGAAACCCAGTTATACTACAGGATATCAACCTGCTTTCCTTTCAATGGTCAACACAGTCACCTTGGCCTGCTGGAGCATCCCAAGGGCTTTCTCTGCCATGGCCTACTTCACGATTTGGAGGGCTTGGCCCCCTTGTCTTCGGCTGCCTCCTCTGCCTCTGCAGCCCTCTTCCTCTTCCTGCTGGCACCCTTTGCGGCCTTCTTGGCCGTCAGTTCCCTCCTCGCCCGATTGACTTCATTATTCGTCACCCTCGAGCAGAGGTTGGATCCGATCTTGGCGGCAGCGCATCCAGCGCATCGGTCCGCTCTCGGTCCAGGGTTCTTGCGGCGGAAGCAAGGCCAGTCACGGTCCCTGCAGGTCATGCACGGGTCGCTGGTGGACTCTGCGCCCTCTTCGATGATCGCTAGAGCAATGCGGTACTCGCGTAACGTCTTTTCTTTCTTGTCGGCTTGGGTCTTCGACGACTTTTCTGCCATCATGTCGCCGATGTGCTTCGTGAGCTGCGCCTTTGTGATGGAGGCGCGAGCATTTTGGCTCTGGTGTTGAGTGGATGCAGGCGGTGCCGGCCTAGCAGGCGTCGCTGCCTTTTCGGGGGATGTGGACCTTGAAGGTTCCGTGTTTGATGGTAGAGGCGGCGAGTGGCCATTCGGGACTTTCGCCCGGCTGCCTTCATTCTCCCCATCGCTTGATGTGGAGGTAACAAGAAATCTGGGTTCGACTGGCGTGCCATCACTCATCACCGGCACCAATGGCGGTCTAGCTCTCGCGGCCTTTTTGAAGTTCTCGACCCATTCCGGATCGTTCCTGTGTCGATATAGTCGTACCGCGAACGGCTTTGGAACCTTTCTTCGCGACTTTGGCGCTGCTTCGGAGTCTTCTTCTTCTGATGTCGAAGGTTTAGCTCGACAGCTTGATAATGTTGGCAGGGGCTTGCGCTTCGGTGCCGGGATGGTTTGTTTCTGGGGTGATGCCGGTGGACTGACTTTTGGGATCGCACCCACTTCGTTTGGTTTACTGTTCCATGCAGCACCTCTCTTATCTTGCGGTGTGTGCTCTTGGACGTCAGAACGTGAGGCCGGAGCCTCTTTTGGGGGGTTGAGAATAGCTAAAAACCCCCATGGCTTTTTTTCTGGGACTGGTTCGCTTTGGCGAAAAGCAGGCGAGCGCATGTGTTGCTGTCCCAGCTCGTCTTGAGGTGGCTTTCTTGAACGGCTCAAATCGAGCAATGTGCTTGCTGCGTCATACTCTTCATTTGTACAATTTCTACTTCTGATATGCGAAGACTGGTCAGCTGGTTTCGTTGACAGTCTCCTTTCGTATGTTTCCGGAGTATGCGCGCTAGTAACGTGAGAACCAGAGTCCTTGTTGTGATGAGCTGGCTCGGTGTACCTTGAAGGTCTTTCCGACTGCCGCTTTATCTTGGGGGGCGAAGGGTTCGCATGGCCTTCCATGTTTGATAGTTAAATCGATCAGGCGGTTCAAACGGGTAGAGAGATAGGGTCACCCAAGCCAAGTGGAAAGGAAAGGGATGTGGGAACGGGTGATAAAGCACGGCGAAGTTTGAAATCACCGGCGCACATGGGTTGACAGATTTATATATCAAGTTGCTCAACGTTGTGAGGGTTCTCTGGATATCGGAGAAAGCGTAAGCGTTAGAGTTTATCGTAAGAACTCCCTCGTCTAGCCTGCACAGTGCTACTAAGAAACGCTCGCGGTTATGAAGAACCGTGGATAATCCATACCACCAACGAGGTCTTATTGCTTGTAACTAATTGCTATTTAGCACATGTACGTCGGAACGAAGCTGGCGGCATCCAAGGATCCCTGTCACTGTCTCACGATTATCCTGCAAACACGCAGAGGCTTTGTGGGTGATCGTCTGTCGCATTGCCTCTGAGGGAGCTGAATGCATTTACGCACCTTTTATTTTCCCCCTTTTCTTTTCAACCTCAACTCTATATTTTCGACATTGGCCAATGGTGGTGTTAGAAACTTTAAATGCTCCACAAATCCATTGAGAGAAGAAACTCTATATTGCTTCAACCACGAGTTTAGGCACGCCTAATGTTTAGTGGGATATACACTCGAAACTCAAAATTCAACAAATGCTCTCTCTCTCTATGACTTCCAAGATGCCGCCCGCAGCCAGCCCTAGATGCCACACTTGCCTTGATAGTCAAGGATTCCGACACGCATCCAGGCCAAAAGACAGGTGAGTCTTATGCCGGTTTATTACAGAACTACGATGGGTCGGTTCGGGCGCTGAACATATATCCTTTCCAATATCATGCGCAAGGTAAATACAGGAGCCACACTACTGATGCTTCTTGTGCCAATATTCCAGCTGGGTATGTGGCCCAGCACGGCGTATCGCTTGTTAGGCCTCCACAATTGCCAATGCATAGCAGACAACATTTAGGCGGAGTATCCGCTGGATTTCATACCACTCATTAAGGCTTGGATAGTAATGCTATCATAAGAAGAGCTGACTCGAAATTGAAACACCCCTTTTTCTTCTATTACTTTCATTTAACTGTTGTTTGACAGGTAGGTACTAAAGATTCTTTGCTGACTCTTTCATACCTTACCCAGCATATTACCAGCATTAAAGCCCTCGTACACTCTTCTCCAGTCGACTCAGGATTGCCCGAACTTACCAGGGTTTCGAAAGCTCAAGGCGAAGGGCTTCATTGCGCCGGCGTGGTCAAATACGAGAATCAACCCACCCGTGTGGACTGCCAGTATCATCCGGCCTTGCCCTGATCTAGCGCACCTTAACTGGTCTTGTCTCTCAAGTTGACTATTGATCTTCTCTGCCCCTAGACGCAGGATGACAACACGGCATTGCTAGTAGTGAAACCATTTCATAGATTAGGTACGAGCCTATATGAAATTTAAAATCTTATTCGCGTCCGGTGCGTTGGTTCGGGATTGAAGATCTCATCTTACAGTAAGAGCCCGCTACAATATTCTATCTTGGTATATGTCAGGATACCTCTTCATCGCTGCTTCAGCATCAACAGTTCCAACTAGCCCCACCCGTGGCTGAGACTTCAAGTCCAACGTAACGTAGTCAAAAACGGACTGCGCAGAACGCAGGAACGGCACTCCGATGATGGAGTCTCCAAATGTGCGAGTCCAGCTTCCCAGCGCCGCATGGCATAGCTCTGTACCATTCGAATTCCCGTGGTCCTTAGGAATCAGTAAATCGAGAGGATCCACAGGATACCACTGTCCGAAATACTTGAGTTCCAGGAGCTGCGGGATGGAACAGTCAAAATAGATCGCGTGACCTTGCTGGTAGATGGTCGGGCCATTGAACAAGCTGGCGATTTGATCAAGCTCTGGCGGCCGGAAGTACATGCTAGAACCACCGGTGTCTAGCATGGAAAGATATTCTCCGGTGGGGATGAGACTACCGTTGTTCATCTGTACCTCTTTGCCATTCATTCGGATGCCCTCCAAGTGAATGGTCCAACCCTGGAATTGCAGCGGAAAATCCTCATAGTTGTAGCTATATTGGTGGCTGGTCAGCAGTCTCGCCTCGGATGGTGTCTCAGGCGAACTTGGAATCACCTACTTTGGAGTCGCAAAAACCGGTCCATACTTGATATCATCTTCTGCCAGCTCTGTGCCAATCCCGCCGATAGTCAACCTGCCAACTTTAGGGGACTCGGGATCTCCCATCCGCGGCAATGTGACAGAAAACTTCGGCTGAGCGATAGAACTACTCTTGGCCAAGGCGTCGAAAGGAGGATCGCGGCCGTTAAAGTATACTTGTCGGCTGACGGATGCCATATTCAGGCCAAGGATACCAGCAAAGGAACCGTTCTGAAACTCTTTGGCTGCCGAGCTGTATACAAGCCCAGTAGCCAAATCGGGAATGGACACGCCACCCAAGTTCACGCTAGCAAGAGACTGGTTCCCATATACGGCACCTTCGCCAACGATAGTGAAAAAGGTCTCATTGGGAATGATATTGTCACTTGGCTGTGAGTCGAATTAGTGAATATAGGTTGCCAAGGATGATGGTACAGGTGTCAAAACTGCCTAGAGTTCCTACCTTTATCTCATAGGCACCCTGCAGCTGGTAGCAACCGTCGGCAGGGTCGTTTGTTGGACATTCATCGGATGCCACGAAGAGATCTCCCGAACCGGTGTCAAGAAGAACCGGTATCACTTGAGAATTAACCGTGACGTTGACATTGTAATACAAGTCATCGCTGCGAACGGGTGGGATGAAGATGTCGAGGATCCCAACACCGGAGTCTGTGGCGTCGTCGTTAGATTCAGTGGATCCAGCTGGGGCGGCGCTAGTACAGAGCAGCCACTGTGAGACTAGAGCCGCCAAAGCTATCGTATATATGGCCATTTCTAGCCTATAAAACGCTCGTGCTACACGTTAGGAGCAGATGCACGAAGAGTGTAACTATGTAGTCAGCGAATTGACATGAGCTTTATACCCTCTCTCCGTTCGTATGCAACGTTGACGGGTTGCTGTGAACGTAGATCATTTCTCTAAAGTATCCAATTAGAAACGGAGCTCAGAGTGGGTTTAGATGCACTTCACCTCGTATTTTTGGCTAACATTTCAAACACTGGCTCCGCAATCGCATGCTCAAAGCGACCTTCCTAATAGGACTAGTCGGTATGGTTGCTTGGCTTATATCACTCATTTAATACAGCTCTATCATTCTGCGTGCGGCATAAATGAGCCCTCGATAGTATCGAAATGCCTCTTAAGGCGAGGATTTTTCTTCTTAGCGATAAGGGTAATTATCAAACCTAGAGATTGAGTTACCTCCTATCATTTACATATCATGCACATTCGTTAGAAACAGGATTGAAAGTACAGGGCTACGCAACTGCTCCAACTCCGTAAGCTAAGAACGATTTGAAAGACAAAGATAGAAAGGCAGTCTTATTCTAGTTTAAGTATCGAATGTAATATATACAGCTAAATATTCACCTGCTTAAGAAAATGTCCTGGTGAGTGAATATGAGAGTACAGTCTGTGCTGAAGACAGCTACAGCAGAGCAAGTAGTCCTGCTCTTACTCCCATATCCTGCGATGTGACATTGTGGTCAACCCGATATCAACGACGTGTGGCACTTTTCACCATCTCGCCTTACTTCAATTTGCTGACAATTGCATTGTAAGCGCTCTTGACGTTGAAAGATTGATCGAAGAGAAGGGGACTTTCACTCTTCCTCCAGGAGTCCTGTGGCAATTGTCAGTCGGTGTGGTCACATAGTGCTGGGCAAGCTGACACGTACCTTGTCGCTGACTCCCCAGACAGTGATCCCTTTGCACTTTGCAATGTTCAGGCATGCGCCGACAACCGTCGCATAGTCGGCGCTGGGTGCGCCTGCAATGTCCAGTTCTGTGATCGCAACCTCCGAGACGCTCGATCCGGCAAGCTGTTGGAGGGCACCCTGAATGTTTCCTGCCATTCCCTGGCTCAGATGTGTCTGAGAACCTGCAATCAAGGTCAGCACTTGGTATCTGTGACTGGTTCAAGTAGTACTTACCAATTCCATCAATTGGGATGCCTTGGCTGATCCACTGATTGACCTTCTTGACCATGCCGTTCACTTTGCCGTAATTCGCTTTGTCGAGATTATAATCATTGATGTAGAGCTTGCAGTTGGGGTCAGCAGCTCTTGCCGCACGGAACGCGATGCCAACAAAGTCTTCGCCCAGCACGTCCGTGAACACGGACTTGCGAAGGGTGCCGTCCTCATTGAAGATCTCATTGACCACATCCTATCAAGTCGGCCAATGTTAGCTGTGATTGAAGCCGACATGATCGACGCCCAGAACTTACCCATGCCCGTATCTTGCCCTTGTACCGACCAACAATAGTCTTGACATGGTTCTCGATGACACTTTGGAGCGTTGTCTTGTCCTTGATGTCTTTAACCCACTGAGGGAGCTGAGAGTGCCAAACGAGCGTGTGTCCCCGAATCGATTTGCCATTAGTTTGGGCCCAGTTTTGCAGATAGTCTGCGCCGGCGAAGTTGAATTGGCCCCGACTCGGCTCAAGAGCATCCCACTTCATTGAGTTTTCTGGTGTCACTTGGCCAAAGTCCTTCTGAATGATTGCTGCACTCTTCCCAGATGTCAAGAGCCCCTTGTCGGTAGCGACTCCGATGTACAGCTTACCCTTGTTTTTGAAGAGCTGGTCGATGCTTGTTGAAGCTTGACGGCTTGAAAGTCCATGTGGGCTATCGGTACCAATAGGACTAGCCCATGCCACCAAGGGCGCGAATAGAAACAATGTTGACCAATGCATGCTGATAATCAGCTAGAAAGAGCGTAAGAATTAGGAGAATAATAGTAGGAAACCGCGTGTGCCCTCTGAGTCTTGTGTTACGAGGGGCAAGTCTGGCGGACATATATGTATAAAAAACTGAGCATGCTGGTACATCATGATCTTGTCCTATAACCTACTCAGGAGTACAATCCTATCATGTTTTGGTGGATCCTCCAATTTCTCGGTCAGGCTAGCCAGATACCTCAAACGGTAACAATTTTGGTTCATGGGACATTGATTGGTGGAACCCGAAAGGGCCCAGATAATAGAGTATCCTTATCCAAAAGCGGGCAGCCTCGACCCCTTCCGATGTGCTTTGGGGCAAGTTGGCGGAGACAAGTTACGAAGAAAGACTTCGTGTTCGGGGGGAAAGGCACCGCCTGTTTCGAGTCTTCAGCTTCCCAGGCTAAGTGGGTACCGTACCAGGCCCAATACAGGTTACTCCGACCGTTGAAAGTGCGCGGGGGCCGAAACCGGGGTCATGGAAACTTTCAGAGATAAAGCCCATCAGAATACGCGTAACTAAATACTCATTACGAAGAACTTAACACTTATTACGAAGAACTCAATACTCATTACGAAGTAATCAGTGAGTGGTTGACGGGGGCAGAAACCTCATAGCTAGCTTTTGTCGGCGAGGGAAGGCTATCTAGGTGAACAATGCAGAACAAGACAGTGGCTTAAACTTTCCTCGATCGAGTGTACTAGGAGACGATAGGATCTATCCAAAGACACAGATGTAATGCTCTGTGGTATTTTCACTGTTCATTTTCAAAGACAGATATGCAATTAGAGGCTCTCGGTCGGATTGTTGCTGCATTGTATGGCTGCCAAGCGATCTGCCAGGGTCAGGAGAAATGCAGACCAAAGCCGGCGACGAAATGCTTAGCCATAACTTTAACACATTGGCAGATTAAGGCGTGCTCCAAGTTGATGCCACCACCACCAGGACTGCTCGCTTAAACAATCGATCAGCATGGAAGTGACTCAATAGAACGAGCCATGGTAGAACTTGGAAGACCTGGAGACCCCACTGTCGCATGGCACGAACCACATCTCATTTCGCAATGGGCCGATGCGGGGCGATGGGTATGTAAAATAATGGAGCTACTGTCGGTAGTTAGCAAGGGATGCATGAAACAGCCCAAATTTCCGTCAATCTATATGTGACTTATTAGCATGGACGGAAAAGCTTGCCATAACACTAATTCGATGCATTCTAGCTTAACTTGACGTACAGCGACCAAGTCGATGAGCACATATAGAACGGTGTATTCTCAACTCGTCAACCAACCAACCAACCAACCAACCAACCAACTCACCATCGTCACTCACTTGTCTGTATTCTTTCGCGCAAGGTGTCAAAATGAGATTCCACAGCGCTGAACTTGGCGTATGCTTCGCCTTAGTAACTTCGACTATGGCGGCGACATGCGCCCTTCCCTCAACCTACCAATGGACTTCTACCAACGCACTGGCAACCCCTAAGTCTGGGTGGGCTGCCATCAAGGACTTGACCCACGTGCCCTACAATGGAAAGCATCTTGTGTATGCGTCTTTCCATGATACCGGATCTAGCTACGGTTCGATGAACTTTGGGCTGTTTTCCGACTGGAGCAACATGGCGTCAGCGTCTCAGAACAGAATGAGCTCCAGTACTGTTGCTCCTACGATCTTCTATTTCAACCCCAAAGACGTTTGGATTCTTGCTCACCAATGGGGTCCCACAACATTTTCTTACCGCACGTCCAAGGATCCCTCGAATGCCAATGGATGGTCGGCAGCGCAACCTCTTTTTAGTGGGACCATTTCTGGTTCCAACACTGGTGCTATCGACCAGACCCTCATTGGCGATAGTAAAAACATGTACCTCTTCTTTGCAGGCGATAACGGCAAGATTTATCGCGCAAGTATGCCCATCGGGAATTTCCCAGGCAACTTTGGCACAGCTTCGACTGTGGTTATGTCAGATTCGAGCAACAATCTTTTCGAAGCCGTCCAAGTTTACACGGTCGCAGGACAATCCAAATACCTGATGATTGTCGAAGCTATTGGATCCAAGGGACGCTATTTCCGTTCCTTTACTGCCACGAGCCTTAGTGGTTCGTGGACGCCGCAGGCTACAAGCGAGAGCGCACCGTTTGCCGGCAAGGCCAACAGTGGTGCCACCTGGACCAACGATATCAGTCACGGTGACTTGATCCGTAGCAACCCCGATCAGACGATGACTGTGGACCCATGCAACCTTCAATTGCTATACCAGGGACGGGACCCGTCTGTTAGCAATAGCAACTATGACCTTCTGCCATATCGGCCTGGTCTGTTGACACTGAAGCGCTAAGAGAGCCCAAAATCATTGCTACGTGGGAATGAAGTGTCACTGAACCTCACCACGATGGGCTAGCACGTTTGAAAACTTTCATTTTTGGATTTTGCCTGTATATATTACACCTTCTGGTTCCGTACATACTGAATGATGACTATAATGGTCAAAACTTTGTGGTCTAGAAGCTATGGAAGATCTGTTCGACCCTTTATGCCGATCAGCCTTGTCCAGCTTTCTCTGACTTATTGTCCCCTTTCATGACAAAGGAAATGTCAAGTTGTTGAGATTACTGTGGCTATTGGGTGTAATCATGAGAGAGGTTTTGTGTCCTTTCAGGAACCCCCTCACTTGGTTTGAACACAATCATAATCAGCACCTGAGATATGAAAACAAGCGTAGAGACATTCTTGCTGAACTTTACTCGTAAAACATACATCAGTTGGGGGAACCCGAATTCCTTGCTTTTAGACATATTCCGCTACATCGATATACAAGACAGCCCTCACGGGTGCAATCGCAGCCAGTTCCACTATACATAGTAGTCAAGAACAGGCTGGGCCAGTATGCTACGTCGGAACGTGAAGGTATAAACCCAACCAGAGCCTGTACTAGCCTATGGAATGATCCGACCTCCGAAGAATTGACAGATAAATTTACTGTCAGAATAAAGACACCGGTTGTCCTTGACCTGAATATTCAACCTAGCCAGCAACTCAGGTTGGATCCACCTCACAGTCTAGGGCGGGTACTGATGAGAGATCTATCTTAGGGGCGTGGATGCAATTATGCAGTTGCTCCTGCATCCCTGTCGTAGCATAGTTCGTGGTCGGGATGCCATACCGAGTTGACCGGCTAATAAATGCGGACGCCAAGATCTTGAGCCATGCCGCCGGTTGCTACTGGGTTGGATTCCTGTTCCCGCAAAGTTTTCTTGAAGCTGTCATACTTGCTAACGAACCACTCCTCAGCCGTGAACTTCTCTCCGTTGAGGCCTTGGAAGACGGTTTTGTCGCCAGCACGCAAGAAATAAGCTGTCGAATATCTATCAGCCACCATCTTGCCACCAGGTGGCAACACTCGATGTAAAACTGATCGGAAGCGCTTCTTAGACACGAAGCGCAGCGTGTCGGCAACATTGATAATGGCATGGCCCGGTTTGGGGGTTACATATTCCCAATCATTTGTCTTCGGTGAAAGCACCTGCAAGCCTGGTGACTCGACGAATAGAAAGGTTAGAGTTCCAGCATCTGTATGAGAGTTATGACCTCGAGGCTCAATATGTTCAGATGCGTCATCCGCTGGGTAGTGGAGGAAAAGCAGCGACGTCTTCGAAGTTTGCTCGGATGGATGGTAGAGCTCGTACCGATCCTGATCCTGCACCACCGCTACATATGAGAGGCATTCCAATAAGCTAAGTAAAATATAATGAGCAGAGTTTTGCAGTTGCTGAAATTCGTCAAGGTGTGTTGTGACTACATCTGGAAGGTGGGTTTGGTTAAGCAGGTTGACGCGTCCAAGCTGAGTTGTATTAGCATAGAGCTCGTACGGTTGGTAACAGGATTTACCCGTAAAGCTTCAAACCCGTCACGAGAGTTCTCCGTGACTCCAGGATGTAATCCAAGCGGCTTATATCTTTGGGTTTTAGTATATAGAACTTCAGCAGGGCAATAGATTAGCATACCCATGGGCATGTGTTGCTGTCTCCGTTTTCAACTTTTGCTCCAGCGGCTCGGTGAACCAGCGTTTCATAATCTGTCCCGTGACATCCAGTTGTCGCAGTATCTTTCCTGACTCCCAGTTGCGGAGGTCGAGGTAAAAGAAACCATCGTTTTCGCAAGCGGCTAAGAGGGATGCCAGCTCATCTTCATCTCTACTTAAGAGAGACGAGAGGTTCAAGGTATGGAACTGCGCTTCCTTCAAGGGTGAAGAGTGAACTGAAGTCATGCTAAGACAACCCTGGAAGGAGATCTGGCCTTAAATAAGGAAGGGCAATACTGATAGACAAATAAGTTCTCTCAATCAAGTCAACATACGCATATCACGTCACTATGCTGAAATCTTTCTGACATATTATACAAATTCTGAACAAAATTTCGTACGAGTGTAGCTGAGGGATTTCTTGATTCCGTAATTGGCCGAACCCCCATTTGACCGACCTTCAACAAAATTCTCGCCCCACATGTAGGGGCAATTCCCCGGGTGCTGATCGCTAACTCTGGCGTGTCGGTAGTTTGCTGAAACACTGGAGTTGAGGTTGCATCCAGTTGTAATCATACGTTCCTCCGCCTCGTGCGATTCCTGTCATCACACATTTTCAAAGCAATCTTGGGCCAAATATAGTAAACATCGGTTGTTCAAGTTTCTTTCTACCTTTGAATGTAAACTCCGCACTCATAGTCCTTTGAGTAAGAAAGCTTTCTGTCAATGTTCTGTTCTAGTCGATCACGATAACAACACTACCAATGAGCCGCAGCAATGTCACGGATCGGCTCTCGCATGATCTTGGGAATCTGAACGCCGATTATCATAAGGCTGAGTGTGGTGATGGGATCTACATGAAACTGGAACACTGCAAGACTGGAGAGAGTTTCCGGTCTCTTGACTTCTGCGGCGGCGCCGCTGTGGCATGCCTAGGAAATGGAGGCGAGAACGCTTCAGCGGAGTACGTTCGGGTCGCCGACGCTGCAGCTGCTCAAATGAAGAAGTTGGCTTATGTTTCACATACCTCTTATCGTTCCGACGTTAATTTTGACCTATCCGAACTGCTGGTCCGAAATGCCAATAGATATCTTGTCCTGGACGAAGAGACACATCAGTGGCAATATAAGGATATCGAGGCGGACGAAAGCTCCAAACTATCTCATGCTATCATTCTGAACTCGGGTAAACTATTTTCATCATTCTGTGTCGAGCACCTGGTTAATAGTTTGAAGGTTCCGAGGCCGCTGAGACGGCGATCAAGGCAGTTTGGCAGTACTGGGGAGCACAAGGAAAGCCGAACAAAAAAAAGATCCTATCACGAGAAAGCTCATACCATGGTAACACTTTGGGAGCATTATCGTTAGGCGAATTTCCCACTCGACAAGATACTTACCAAGGACTGATAAGGCCACGGACGCCAATGGCATGCGCATCGGACTTTGGCAATCTTCAAACCAGTAGGTGCGGTCCAAGTCTTAGGACGAGAAACAACGAAATGCACGACGGGCCGTTGGATATTCAGTATATCAAATTTGATAGGTACTATCCTCATGGGGATAAAATTGAGAATGAGACCGAAGAAGAGTATGTGGATAGGTTGTTACGCAATCTCAAGATGCAAATCATGCTTCATGGAGCTGACACCATCGCTGCTATCTGGATCGAACCGGTCTCGGGAGCTGTAAGTTAACTTTTGATACAGAACCTGGTTTTCTTCGGACCCCTCATATTAACGGAAGGTATTGAAACTGTAGGGCCTGGGCTGCCAGCCCGCCGGACCAGGATACCTCAAGGAGATAAAGAAGCTCTGCCGAAACAATGATATAATTCTGGTGTATGATGAGGTAATGTGTGGAATGGGTCGCATGGGGAGTATGCACGCGTGGCATTACGACCAAGCTCAGCTTTGCGCCCAGCTGGAAGGAGATTCGGATGCTTCAGATAAAACGCATCATCTGGGAAGACAAGGTCAATGTCTTCAGAGCCTAGCCCCGGATATCCAGATGATGGGGAAGTGCCTTGGAGCTGGCATTATGCCAGCTGCCGGTCTGATCGTGAACAGAAGGGTTGCCGACGGCCTCGCGTAAGTCCAATGACATTAACCGAAATACCTTCACTAATACAGTTTCTAGCCCGAAATTCATTCATAGTTTCACGTATCAAGCTCATCCGACAGTATGTGCTGCTGCCTTGTCAGCCCAAAGGGAGATTCAGATACTACTTGAAGCCGGGAAAATCCAGAAACTTGCGAAATGCTTGGAACGGGAGATTAAAGAAAAGCTCTATCCGTTAGGAAATGTGGCCGATATTCGCGGACGAGGGTTGTTCTGGGGCATCGAGCTTCAACACGATGATGGTGGAGCGTGGGCTCATGATGTCTCAATGGAGCTTGTTGCTTTTGGAGAAGACGACCATTTCATTCAGGAGGATGCATGCATTAGATTTTATGGTTCCGGGTGGAGACTTCGAAAACATGGGGAGCCGGAAAGAAAGGGCGATCACATCATGTTGTCGCCTGCATTCACTTTCACAGAACGTGATATCATAGAAGGGGTCTCGAGGCTCGCTAACGTTGTGCAGAGATATTTTGGGGAGAGTGCATACATCTCACGTCACAGGGCCAAAGATGCTAAAGGGGCGTTTGTGCCCTGATGTATCAAAGCGTAACCCTGGTGCTTTACTATCATATCTATCAACTTGCTTAGCCACTGTTCCAGTGGCGAAACATTCTTAGTTATGATCAGTAAGGCTTTTAGTCAAGAGATATCAATACTTGACTGAACAAGGCTTTGGTTGTCCCTTTCGGGAAGTTTCATGGCTCTGACCGGAAATTAATGGGTCTTATAAGTTGAACAACATGAAACTCTTGCTTTACTTCGCTATCGGTGGTGGTTGTAGTTTCCAAATCAGAATTATAGGGTATTTACAGTTGTATCAAGCATTGGGTAGGTCCATGAATTCAATCCAACGGTTTTCAAGCCTAGACGGGCTGTTTGACATACTTCTTGCATACTTTCAGGTGTAAGCCATCAATGTTGGCAAAGGGGTCCTCTAGAAGCGTCTCCGTGATAGACTCAAAGATTTCGGTGTACGCCTTGGTCTTTTGATCCACGCCACCAAAGTGCATGTCCAGACCGCCTTGCAGTCCCCCTCCAAGATGGATGCCTATTTTATATCTCCAAACAGCTGACTTTGGCATGTACCTTTCCATGGCGGCTCGGAAGAAAGCTTTCTCCCGGCCATCATGAACTTTGCAATGCGGGTGGATATCCACTGCAGTCTTGATTACGTCGCTGTGCCAAAATGGATGAGATACCCTCTTGTTCCAAGTACGAGCCACAGCATCAGTAAACTCGCAGCTATGACGGGCACCATCAGCCTCCGATATGATGCTTTGCGTCAACACTTCTTCTTCGTGACAGTCAGGCGGTAGGCCCAGTAGCAGGGGATCGGCCCCGTATCCTGTGAGAATATGCCTCTCTTTGATAATGCCACTACGCATCACCGCAGATACAATAAGAGATACATCAACCTGAACACGATTTGCCGTTCCAAGAGCACGCATCGAAGCTGGAATTGCGGCCAGTATTTCGTCAGTAGAAAGCTCAATTCGAACGAGTGGGATGCCAAGGAAGTCTGCGAGCTCCTGTGCTTCTTCGTGTTCGTTCCCCCATGGCGAGCCAGCACTATATGCAGTGACTTTGACTCCGGATCGTACAGCAAATGTGGTTACGGCACCAGAGTCAATTCCTCCAGAAAGCAAAGTTGCTATTTCAGTTTCATCCTGGACATTCGCTGACACGCCTGCCTGTAATGCCTCTACAAATCTCGATCCAGCTTGGGTGAAATCTCTGATTCGGGGGTGAAGCACGGCGAAGAGAGGGTCGTACAGCTCTTGGATACTGAATTGCCAACCACTCCCAGGATTCTGAATCTCGACATAGGCATGTGCCGGCAGTTGTGTGACCCCAACGAAGCTTGTCGTGCTGTCCCGGTTGATGATTGTAGGGTTAATAATCTTAATGGGCATTTCCCACTGATAACGGGTAGCATTTAGTGTGAACACGTCTGTTCCAATTGCCCAAGCCCTGGTAGTGGTGTTCCTTGTTATGTACAAGGGCGGATTATTCATGACGCCCGTTTTCAGGCGGACTGTATCGCCGTTCACATCCATGTCGGTTGCCCATTCAGGCAATGCTTGCCTCTCCCCATTACGTGATAAGACTTGATTCTTGCTGGCAGGCAAAATAACACCGTTGCCGTATATATAGAGCCCGGGAGTTGTTGTAACGCACTGAGCTTTTGAAAGGCAGGGTATGCGGGCGTTTGTGACTAGCAACCACGGTGCTTTACCGTCGCATCGCCCTAGCTTCAAGCTTTCTTGTATCAATCCCATGGCGGAGTTTTGCTAGATGAAAGAAGAGATTGAAATAGTGGTCGCCGACTTAATCACAACAGAGCCTGATACTGAATATCCGGTATCACGGGGACGAAAAGACCACGGCCTATATTGATTCGTATCGATTGACAAGGTTTCAGTTACGGACAAACCCGGTTATGTGATTTTAAAAACCTCGGTAAAATGTTGAAACCGGGTTTGTTAGACCCACGTATCGGTGAATGGCTCATTGGTCATGGAATATACGCCGATGTTGGAGTCTGACTAGGGGGGAGAACCGGTGATTTAAAAGAGATTTAATTCGTGACATGGGGTAGCAGATATCCACACACAACTTCGCTGCCCATCGTCTCCACTTGCACTGACGATCTTTTTTGTTCCTCACATCTTCAGCTTTCTCTGCTTTGAAATCCCTAGATCTTGCATATCGGCAGTTTTCTGTACACGGAATCAAGCGTTACAAGTACGCTTGGCCTTAGCAGAAGCATCTTGACCAGTCTTTTGGTCGACATCAACTAATGTTCCTGATGCTTCGAACGACTCGCAGTTGGATCGCAGTCTATTAGCGCACTGCGAGCAGCTTTCAGAAGTAAGTGGACAACTGGAGCCCTCGACCTAGAAAGTACTTCTCAGCTGTATATGCGGGACAAACCCAAGCACCAACGAATATATCCCGGCTAACCATCCCATGGATATCCTGCATTGTGGCATTTGATTTAGCTAGCACCTAAACAATTCAACACACTATTCAAATCCCAACCATCTATACGAGTGATATGATACTTTCCTCCTCAGCCATTTGTCCGTATTCCCTTTCAAACCAACTCTCCCTGTCGTTCAAATTCGGGAACGCGATTTTGAAGAGTGCTACGCGCTCATATGAATCCCTTTCCATTGTCTTCCTCAATACCAGAAACATGTCCGTTATGACAGGTGAGTTGGACGATTGGCTGTCATACAGATGGATCAGAAAGACTTGAGCGTGTTTGCAAGAGAATCCATCTTTGTTAGCTTTGAAGTCAAAATCCGTTCTGTCATCGTATTTCCAGTCTGGAAAAAAACTTGGCTTCGCATGACCCAACCTTAAACCCATAACACCGTTAGCAGGACAAGGTGTGATGCTGGGGCTTCTCGTAGAGAGCCACTGGTCGTACTCAATCACGTATACCATACGGCTCCGAGCCGTCATACACTTACGGCAGATTCTGCGAAGGTAAACGGGGCATAGAGATGTGCGCAAGCGAATGCACCCAGACTTGACAGCGCCCGTCTTGTCAATGGTGGCGGGCACGCACTCGGCGCCCTCGATTCTGGCCCGAAATGCTTCCTTGTATCGTGTCTCTAAGGGATAGATGTAATCGATTCCATTCGTAGTGTCTACGCTTGCCCATGACCAGCTAGGTGCTCTCCAGTTTACTGTTCGTGGCTGGTTCACGGGAGCGTTGACAACCCAGAGTAATTCCTCAGCAAGTTTAGCCCTCCAAAATCCTGCAAGATATTCATCTCCTGTCAGGCGACCAATATCCTTGGCACATCCGGACAGTGCTGGCAACTTATCAGAGCTCCTTGTTAGATGAAGTTTGGTGTACTGCATCACCGTCTTTTGCCAATGTTCGCATGCCTGATCGTCAGAATATCTCCCTTTCACTCCATAGTGTTTTCCAAGCTCTGCATATTGGTTTTTGGCCTGCAGCATTGCTTTATAGGCAGGTGACGTCGGTACCGGATGAGGCGGAATAAATGGATTGCCGCACTCGCAGGCCTTGTGTTCACGACATTCAAACTGGAGCTCTCGGTATGTATAGTAGAGGATTCGTCGTGAGAGCATACGCTCCTGGTAGATCCAGGCCCGAGTCAGTGCAGGATAAGCGTCTTTGAAGCTGTCAATATCTTCCACTATCCCGTCGCGATCATAACACCGTACAGCAATAAGAATTTCCGAGTCGTTAAACTGAACGCGAAAGTATAGATCGCTCAGCTTGGTAGTGAATAAACACCCTCCCCTAGAGTCGGAAGACGAGACAGCAGCAATAGTAATGTGGCTCTTCTGATAGATATCGGCCATCTTACTGGATTCTACTGCCCAATCTTCACCTGAATCCTGGATGATGCAGAGAGAGTCAATCCAAAGGTACCGTACTCCAAGTTGTTTTGTTATCAAAACAGCATCTTGGAATGTCTTTGGAAGCACTGAGAACGCTATGCCCTTGAAATGATCTTCTAAGGTTCCGTTTGTAGTTTGAATTGGCTTAGGGTCCTTACCCCAACAATGAGACAGGCATGCATAGGTACTGATCATCCCTTTAGTCTCAACAAGCCTGATCTCAGAACGTTCGGTAGCACTGGGAAGCCCTAGATCTAAACATCTGCTGGGCAGAGGTACGTCCCGTCCCGAACCGCAAAGTCTGTGATTATCCTCGCAGTTTGTTATCAACTTACTTGCGGCTTCGAATGACGCTGATGACGATGTATCTCCAGGTAATATGTTTGCAGACTTGAGGCCACGGATAATGATCTTTGCGCCTGACTCTACATTAGCTGGTGTGCATCATATGAGTCACTATATGAGAGAGCTACTGACCTGATGGTGAGAAGAATTGGAAGGAAATCGGCTTTTGGCGTCGTTTGTCCTGCATCTTCAGATAAAAATTGTAACCGACCCATTCGAGTAACAAGGTCTCTCGGTCAAGGTCCAAAGGTGGTTGCAGAAGGCAACCCAACATGGCACTGAAGAATCGACAGCATCCGCAGCCCGCATTGGTCGAGGCCTCGAGATCCTTCAGCATGAATGGATTTCGCTTGGATTTGAGCTTCCTATTTGACAGTCGCGCTTCTGTCTGCAACACTTGGCGTTGTTTTTTGATAGACTCTTTTCTGAGCCCTCTGATTCTATTCCACTTCTCACGTTTCTCGGCTGGGTTTGTCGTCCGTCGGTCAGACACCGCTTGTTTAGTCACCCATTCTTCGCAGTCAAGGAGGCATCCCTCTGTGCCTAGTTCATGAAGCAGACTCACATAAGTTGTGTCGTCAGGGTCGCTTGGTGGAAGAGAGGTACTCTCATCGAGTGGTACCTGTGTGATCTTCATCATGGAACTTTATGGATTGCCGCGTTGTGTTAGGATGACGACAAATTTGCCCCCCTCCCCCC